GCTTTCTTGTCAGTTTGCTTGCTTGTCGGTGTGTTTGCCTGTCCGTCTGGTTAGCTTGCTTCATTGCTTGCTTTGCTTGCTTGCTTGCTTGCTTGCTTGCTTGCTTGCTTGCTTGCTTGCTTGCTTGCTTGCTTGCTTGCTTGCTTGCTTGCTTGCTTGCTTGCTTGCTTGCTTGCTTGCTTGCTTGCTTGCTTGGTTCTTTACTTGCTTGTCTGCGTGTGGCCTTGTTTCTTAGTTTGTTGAGTTGGTTGGTTGTTTGCTTAGTGGTCTTTGTTGACCAGGCGCACGCCGCAAGTCTCAAAACGCTGGGCCCGGCAAAAGGAAACGAAAAGCAACAAACAAAAGAACTCCGAAGAACAAACGTATGTCACATGAGCCACGATCAAAACCTGGGTAGATAAAGGTTAGTAAAGGACAATCCCAGCCAGACACAGCAGCGGCCGCATTTGTATTTCCTTACATGGTTCTGTGTCAACCTATAATACCGGGTTGTGATTCTGACTCACATGTCCTTTTGGTTGTTTGGTTGGCTGGCTTCTCCAAATCTGTTTGTTGCGCTGTTCTTTGTTCTTTGCTTGTTCGGTTGGTTGATCTCCCCAGTTGCCCGGCGGTGCCCTTTTTTCCTTCTTTTGGCAAGGGGTGTCCCTTTAAAGTCAACCAACCGAACAAATGCATGCCCTTGTTTCCTATGGCCACTGGGCTTCTGAGCCTGGATTCTTTGCTTCTTTCTTTCAAGAACACCTCAACTAGGTCCCCCAGCTAGCTGCCAACTTTTACCGTGTCTTTTTTGGGGGAGGGTTCCCCTACTAAAGTAGACTACAGAGAAAAGTGGGTACCCTTATTCCAGCCTCAAACTACTGGAGGACCTAGCCACCTAGCCTTTTTTGTAATGGTGCTTTGACCCCCAGGGAAAGGCTAGGATAGGTATTTCGCCATCCAAGCTCAAAACCGCCTCCAGAGCAGCGAAAACTTCCGCGTCGCGCACGAGGCCAGCGACCAGCTCATGCCGTTCCTGGCGGAGCATCTTCGGCGCCAGGGGCTTTGGGGCGAGCGTCTCGGCGAAACGAAGCGAGCGCCAGCGCGACGAAGCGGTTTTGTTCGAGCGCAAATGGTGGCCGCTGGGTTGTTTTGGTGTTTTTTGGTGTGTTTTTTGTTTTTTGCGGGGGCCGTGTTTGTTCTGCTTCCATTTAAGCGATTAGTTTTCTGTTTTTCCCCTTGCTGGTTTTGAAGGGAATCGATTTCACTACTGGAAATATGTTCTCATGCTTTGTCCTTGGGGCGGCAAATGGAAGTCTGGGACATGTCCTGACCTTGGTTTTCCCTTTTGGGGTTCCCATTTTTAGGTGGCAAAAGGCGATCACCTTTTGGTCCCAGGTCCTAAAAGTTGAGTTGCCAGTTTCTGGATTCGTGTACTTCGCGAAACATTCACCAGGTGGCCTCTGTTTCGTTGCTGCGTGATTTTGTTTTGTTTTTTGCCAGGGGAGGCCTTCAAATCAACCAACGTAAAGAGCGCCACATGCTTTTGTCATGAGGCTTGAGAGATCCATGTCTCCGCCTATGACTTCCTTGGGGGTGCCAGGAAACGACCTGCTCTTCTTTGCAACTTGCGGAAATCGAAAGAGGTGAAGAGCTGAATTCTGAAACGTTCATGCGTGCGTGTTGCACGCGTTACGCCTTTTTGGTCCATGCCCTGGACCACCGCTCCAAGCTGTTGTCGTCGTTGCTCTCGAAGGTTGATTTAGTGCGAACGTAGGTTTTTCTCCCACTAGGTCCCCCAGTAGTACCCTTTCTCACCCTTTTTGGGGGGAGGGTTCCCCTACTCAAACAGACAGAAAAAAGTTGCTAGCAACTTATTCTAACCTCTCCACTGGAGGACCTTACCTCAATTTCGGCAGTCCACGCGCCAGTTGTGCAAGCTGAAATGGCGCGCAAGCGCGCACCATCCCGCTGCACGATCTTGAAGACCTGCGTGCGCGACGTGCTTTCCTCCGAGACTCCATGCGCTTCCAACTTGCGAGAAGCTAGATGCGACCGTTGCTTGCCCCTTTCTCCCCCGGCCTACCGCCAACAATCTTCAGCAATTGCTACGCGCGCACAAAGAAGAGCCCAGAGACGTGCCCAGACCAAACGCGGGTATATCACTTACGTCCTTCACCTCAACTTCCACAACAGCAGTTGGCCATTACAAATCCAGCGCGCCTTGGGCTGCCCCGAAAGGTTGCTATCTTTCGTGTCTCCTTCTCGAGTTCTGTGTGTTTGCACACCGGGAGCGAACACCCAAGAACTTGGCGAGAACAAACTCCTGAATCAAATCACGGCCCAAGTATGAACACTCAGCTGCCAAGGGTTGAGCCGAAACCTTCGATCAGGAAACTTGTCTTAAACTTTCCCAAGCCAAGGAACAAACACTTTCCTGTGTGGGTGGGGTGGTGGTGCCTTGAGGTCTCACCCTAGTGGCAAATCAGTGTTTTCGAGCATGGTAAGATGTGTGAATCTGGTTTTTCGGCTGCATCTTCGGGATCGAAGCTTCTGAGAACCTCCACGCTTCGCAGGTCTGGGTGGGCGCCTGACCAGCTGCTTCTGCACTCCGGCGGCCCTGTGACGGACCGGATCCCCGATCTTCCGGATGGACTCGCCACGCCCCGCATTGTTGTTTTGAGCCTTTTGGGTCCCAAACACAACCAATACTTTGCTGCATTTTGCCAAGGGTGTTAGGACTTTCACATTTTTGCCAACTAATGGGTGTTCCAATAAACCACTAGAAGTTGAACTTTTAGCAGGGGAGCAGAAAGCAACCGAGAATACCACTTCTTCCCGCAGGTGTTCTTTTTTTGTCGGTGGTGAGCTCTAGATGGGAGAAGTCTAAGACAGCCAGTGCTCATTCCTCATTAATTTTCGCTTCAAAAGCGGGAAGCCGCTCAAAACATCTACCGACCGGGGGGGCCATGTTTTTTTTGGAAGGCCAGCCGAACCCATGGGAAAGCATTCATGGGAGTCTAGCCATGATCTACAAGAGAAGAAATATAGCAAAAAAAAAACGACTTAAAAAGTCGGAAAGAGAACCAAAAACATCAACTTCTTCAAGTCCACAAGACTCCACAGCCGCTTCGCCACCGGTGAACCCACGCGGTCCTTCAGGACGTGGCGCAGAACTCGCTGCTGGCCGGGCCGGCCACCCTGCGGTTCCTGGCCAGACAGCCTCCCGAGCCCAAGGAACCGATCTTGGGGATGAACCGGACGGGTTTTGGGGCTTCCCCAAAAAACAAGCATTTTCTATGGGAACCCGCCTGCTTTTGGGCTTCCCTTTATGGAAATCCTCGGGGGAAATGTTCACTCAACTTACACGCTGCTTGGGAATCGGCGGAAAAGGTGTCGAAAAGCGATCGCATGGCGATCCAGGTGCTTTGTAATGGTTAACCCCGTGCATTAAGCAACCCTGGTTTATACATATGGGGGTGGGGGCCCCTCCCAAAGTGATGAGTCCTAGGGTTTTGGAAACCATAGGAAATGGTTGTTTTTGGGGGGCAACCGGACTGCTTTTGGGGCTTCCCTAAAAGGAAACCCACAGGACATGGTGGTTTTTGGGGATCATTCCCTGGTTCCCCACTGAGAACCAGGAAGATTGCTTCGGGGGTCCTTTTGCTTTCAATCGAGAACCAAGCCCAAGAAGGAGGCCCCAAAAAAAACCGCCAGTGGAACTGTAGCACTTTGAGTGTATGTTTTTTGGGGGGACACTCCAACATGGGCGGGAGTTCCTTTTCGCTTTCCATCGAACCAACCAAAAAGCACTTCCCTAGAGAAAAAGACACGCCAATATAGTTGTCCTGGACGGGTGCCTTTCTTTGGGGAGAACCTTTCCAAAATGGATGGTGTTCCTTTTGTCGTCCACTGCCGGAAAAGGAAACCAAAAGGAAACCCGCCATTGTAAGGGAGATTGCCCGCGCTGGTTGGCATACCCATCTTGACACACGCCACATCCAACCACTGGAATCCGGGCTAGAAAGTTGCATCGACTGAAATCATCTCTTCTAGGTCCCCCAGCAGCGCCCTTTCTCACCCTTTTTTGGGGGGAGGGTTCCCGTGCTAAAATAGACTACCGAAAAAAGTTGGTACTAACTTATTCTAACCTCTCTTTCTGGAGGACCTTGTCTTTGTCCGTTCCTCTTTCCTTTTCAAACCACCTGGGTGAGAATTTGGCAAATGTCCTGTAGAAGTGTCTGCTGGGTTCTGTGATGTTGGCTGTAACAAACAACCGCCCAAGAAGGGTAGCGATTCAACGCACTGAAAAGTCCAAAGGAATCGGTTGACATGTTGCATTATGGCTCGCGGTATCGAATTGCAAACGGGCTTGGCCGCTTTTGTTTTTTTTGCCAACGAGGGTTCAGGAAAATCGGATTGGAATGGCTAGTTTTGTTGGTTTGCCAGTAGAATCAGATGAATTCCCAAGGCTGGGAAGTGTTAGGCAGTTCCACTTTTCTGCCTTCCGAAACAGACAAGCACATAGGATTTCACTCCCTACGGTCTCCTCTTCTGGCTGGTTGGGCTTTTCTTTCAACAGGGGCAGCTTATCACAGCACACCTTTGGTACAGTGCCCCGGCTGATTCTTAGGGACTGCCAAAAGCTTCCACTCAGGTCTAATTAAGGGTTGTATAGGTGATAGCCCCCCTGCCCAGCCTTGCAAAAGCCCTGTTGAGCATTCCTGTAACAAATATATTTTACTTGGGTTAGAATGGCTTCTATAAGTGGTCGGTTAAAAAAAGGAAGAAAGCAAAACTCGAATTGGGCCAGGAGCCACATGCCAAGAGAAGGCACGGATCGAATCTGGGGTTCGCTTGGCTGTTCGCTGTCCGAATCTGACCTCAACTCAGTTCTTCAGTGGCACCAATTCTTTTTCCCTTCCTTTTTTGGTGGCTGCCCCATTTTTCCATTCTTGTTCCGTTCCTTTTTTGATACCTGCCCCACTGAAATGTTGGTCCAAGCCCCAAAGAGGCGTCCAATTTCGGTTTTTCTCCGTCACTGAGCTGAGTCCTCCACCTCCAGTTGGAAGCGAAGCTCAGGGAGGTCACCTGGATGGCCGACTTGAGCACCTCCCGCCCGCGGTCTTTTTTTTTGCCTCGTGGGAGCCGGATTTTGTTTTTTTCGCGCTGCATACCGTTCATGGGATTTCCACAAAAGGACCAGTTCGAGATGAGCAAGAGATGTGCTAAGTACGAATGTGTTGGATGTTGGCGGTCCGTTTCCTGTCGGTTTATGCTGTAATATGGATGGACAAACTCCAGCACCACTGCCAGTTGGTAGGTGGTTTATCCCGGCATTCAGGAGGGTCCTGTTTTAGCTGGTGCGAAGTGCGTTTTGTGCATCCACGGTGGTTGCTCACATGGGCGTGTGTCAAAATCTTCCCTTTACGTGGCCCAATCCGCTGCCCTGAAAAATCTGCATCTTTGGGTGGCACAAAATTGGGGGGGGGGGGGTCACTTCTTTGGTTGGCCATATAAAAGGATTTGTTAGGGCAACACTGATGGAACAAAAAGAATTCGACAGGCAGGCACCACCCTCATCGTGGCAACTCCCTTTTTTCAACCTGGTTTTGGAGGGGGTTCCCTCCAACAACAACTGCCCAAAAAGCGATTGCCGATCGCCCTTTTTCTTTTGGGCACTGGGGGTCTGGTGTACTAATCTGCTATCCATCATTCGTGTCAGTTCCTGGCGCACGTTTCTGCATGAATTATGTCGAGCTCACCTGAAGCCACCCTCTTACTGACACGGGCTGTTTTCTGTTCTTGCCCTTTAGCACGCACTTTTGAAGGACCCTCTCTTTTCCGTGGGGAACGATCCATGACAATATCAACAATCGGGCATTCTTACGGTGCCAAGGGCGCACCAGTTAGAACCATGTTTCCAGACGACTGAACTGCAATTGCCAGGATCTATTGCCATGAGTTTCTTCTGAACACCATCTCGTATGAATCTGGGCGTGTCTTTTAGTTGGGGGGGAACCCACAAAAAGGTGGTTTTCCTCTCACTTCTTCTTGAAAACCACAGAAAGAATGGTACCCTCCAAAAAAGGACGAGCCACGCCCACATGAGTCGCAATCAAAACCCGGGTAATTGCAGGGTAAGGGACGATCCCAGCCATAAATGGTTTTCCACTCCTATTATCTGCTTAAAGAACGCTAGCACCATTGTTTTCATCTTGGGTTTTTTGACTTTGGGTACCGCAATGGGAGCCTCGTATACATGGGTGCGGCTTCCTGGTGGTTTCCTGGTATGACTCACATGACTAGGTCCCCGAGCTCACCCCTTTTTTGGTTGGGAGGGTTCCCCTACTAAAATAGGCGTTCCGAAAAAAAGTTGGTACCAACTTATTGTAGCCTCAAACTACTGGAGCACCTCGCCAAGTTCAGCCAAGTTACGGTTGAAGTGCGGTTGCCCATCCCCACCTCCAGGTCCACCCCCCCGCAGGCTGGTTCTTGAAAAAGCCACTCACTCCCCATGGAGTTTTTACGGACCCTTGCGGACCTGGTTCCACTGGACCTTTCTGCCGCTTCGCCCTTCGCGACGCGAGCGCCGCGTTTGTTCGGGGAGCGCAGGCACGAGCCGGACGCGCCGCTGGAGGGCCAGCTGCGCTTGCTGCGGCCCGAGGCGCGGGGCGCGGGGCGAGAGTTCGAGACCCGGAAGCTGGGGGTCTGCCGCCAAGACGATCATGGGTTCAGTCTAAAAAATGGTTCCTTGCCGCAGGAGAGGGGGTCTTCAAAAAGGGTGCGGTCAAAAAAGGGCTGGAGGGAGTTCGGGCTTAGAGTGGGTTTAGGATGGTTTAGGGTTGGTTTAGGGTTGGATGTAGGGTAGGTGGGGTGGGTGTAGGGTTGGGTGTAGGGATGAGTTAGGGTGGGTGTAGGGTTGAATTAGGGTGGGTAGGGGAGGATGGGGGTCTTCAAAAAGGGTGGGTCATATTCTTCTTAAGGGGTCCCTTTCCGCACAGGAGATTCTTGTCCTCATGCCTGTTTTTTTTTTGGAGGGGGGGGGGGGGGGGTAGTCCATGTTAATTATGAAACATGGTCAGAACATAATTGTTCAGATGTGGGCCAAGGAACGGTATTTGGAGTGAGGCCGATATAAACCTTGACCATGGTGGCACCAAAGCGGCGGGGGCGCGCCATTTTCTACCTGTAGAAACCTGTTTGCCTCGGACCCCTCCGCAGGGAAACCTTTCTGGATCTTCGGGGAATCCCCAAAAGGCAAGGGTTGGTGGGGATTCATCACTTTGGAGGAACTGGTGTACTCTGTTGCCCAGTGGCGCCCGAGTACTCGAAGCATTGTGATCCAGCGCTGCCCTCTGACCATTCTTTTTGGGGGTCGGGGGTGGCACTTTACCACCAATTCATTTACCAAGAAAGTAAAGTGATTCACCTTTTTCCCCCCTGGAAATCCACTTTGTGAAGAGCTCAAAAGAGGTGGGTCTCCTCCAAATCCATAGACATTTCTTCTCTGTTGTTGGCATGTTTTAGTTCTTGGATGATTGTTGTTTTTTTTTTAGATCTGCTCATTTTTTGTACACAGCCAAAAACCATCAGCTTTGGCTGCTATTGGGTTGGATCTTTAGACTTTAACTTTTTGATTGAAATCAAGTTGGGTTTTCCACTAAACCCCCAAAAAGTTATTCACTTTTTGCAGGGGGGTCAACACCAACCAAGCTCCAAGAGAAGTCCAGAAGCCAGCCGTTGGTTTCCCCGAGCCGCCCGTACGGTGGTAGGCGGAGTCGGTGCTTCACCCGAGTCATGTGCAAGCGGTTGGGGTGGGAAAGCTTTTCCCCAAATCCACGAACGCGGCCACAGACTTGCATCGATTCGCGCACGAGACGCCAGGAGCGGCTGCCCCTGCAATGGCACGCCCAGCGCTGGCGTGGCACCTGGGAGGCGCCGGGTGCCCACTGCGCCAGCGCCCAACCCCAACAGGCAGTTGGGTGTGTCTTTTTTTGGTGACCCCTCCCCCAAACAAAAAGACGTGCGCTTTTTTCGGTTGGTTTCCCTTTAACAGCCCTCAAAAAAATAGACCCAATTTTTGCAAGTCTGTTTCTTGGCTCTTTTCGAGAGATTCCCTTTCTGATCAACTACCAAAGAACCGAGTGCCCTTTTAGTAAAGCGTTCAAAGCAAGAACAGAAAATTAGAGATGAAGAGCGGAAAAAAAAAGTACTAGTACTTGTACAGGTACTACTACTACTACTACTACTACTACTACTACTACTACTACTACTACCACCACTACTACTACTACTACTACTACTACTACTACTACTACTACTACTACTACTACTACTACTACTACTCACTTCCTGAGTTCATGAACTTTAAACTGTTTGGGAAGACCATTTTAGTGGTAAACAAAAAGTTTGAACTTTTTTGGGCCATCCACTCAGCAAGCGAGACTACTACTACTACTACTACTACTAACACTACTACTACTACTACTACTACTACTACTACTACTACTACTACTACTACTACTACTACTACTACTACTACTACTACTACTACTACTACTACTACTACTACTACTACTACTACTACTACTACTACTACTACTACTACTACTACTACTACTACTACTACTACTACTACTACTACTACTACTACTACTACTACTACTACTACTACTACTACTACTAGTCCTACTAGTGGTAGTGGTAGTGGTAGTGGTAGTGGTAGTGGTAGTGGTAGTGGTAGTGGTAGTGGTAGTGGTAGTGGTAGTGGTAGTGGTAGTGGTAGTGGTAGTGGTAGTGGTAGTGGTAGTGGTAGTAGTAGTAGTAGTAGTAGTAGTACCACTACCACTACCACTACCACTACCACTACCACTACCACTACCACTACCACTACGACGACGACTACTACTACTACTACTTGTCTTACTACTCGTGCTTGTTTTTGTACTACTACGACTACTAGTACTAGTATTACTACAACTATTACTACTACTACTACTACTACTACTACTACTGCTACTACGACTACTACAACTACTACTGCTACTGCTACCGCTACTATTGCGACCTGCGCCTGGAGGACTTTGGCTGTCGTCCATATAGTTTGAGACGGGGGGGTGCAACCTTCTGGTTCAGAAAACACGGTTCCCTGGACAAGATTTTAGTCCAGGAGGGACGGTGGCAAGCGCAAAAAACCGCTCAAATCTATTTACATGAAGGGCTGGCGGTTCTTGCCGAGTTGAAGCTCCCGCAGCATCGTGACATAGCAGTGTTTCGAGCTCAGTATGTAAAGGCGGTCAAAGTCCCACTGCCGAAACTTGAGCGAGCCTGCGTGGAAAGAAGGTCCAAAAAGAGTCGGTCGAGGGGTAATCCGACCGTTTTCAATCCGCTGTAAGGAGGCAGCCAGTGATTTTTAGAACCAAAAAGAGTCGGTTGAGGGGTAATCCGACCGTTTTCAAACCGCTGCAAGGAGGCAGCCAGTAATTTTTAAACGGAGGGGAAATCCGACTCGCAGACTGAACCCCCCTTTTAGTTGCTGGGCTTGGCCAGTCATAAAGGGGGGAAGTCTGAAGTCAAGGCTGGGGCTGGGGCTTACCTGGGCTTGGCCAGGAAGACCCCGGGGTCTTGAAACTCCCTTGGTCGGGATGGGTTTAGTTACTTTTCAGATGTAGCTTTTCAAGTTTTATCAGACAAATCTGGTCTTGCAGCGCGGAAAAAGGCAAGCCAGAAATGAATTTTTAATCTCTCAATGTATACGTACATTACATATACATATATATATATACACTTGTGTAATATATGTGTACAGGAACTGCTACTGCTACTGGTACTACTACTACCACCACTGCTACTACTACTACTACTATGACCACCACCGCCACTGCTACTCGTATTTCTACTAGTACTAGCACTACTAGTACTCCTACTAGGACTAGTGCTACTACCAGTACTACTACTAGTACTTTAGTAGTACTAGTACTAGTGCTAGTACTACTACCAGTTCTACTACTACTTCTACTTCTACGACGACGACGACGACGACGACGACGACTACTACTACTACTAGTCCTACTACTAGCATTACTTTTTCGTTTGGAGCTGTTCTTTTCCGCTTTTAGTCTGTTTTTTCCGCTCTTAGTTGCTTCCAGTTTTCCGCTCTTGCTGGCTCATATTTGTCCGCTCTTATTTGGCGCTCTCCCTGTTAGTGCCATGGCTCTGGGTTTGGGAGGTGGTTCTACCTACGAGGATTACAGTAAGTTCTATATAAACCTTAAACTACCGTGTTCTGCATTCTCACCATATGGGCGGCATGTGTCTTCTTTTGAGGTTACCCTTTTGTGCTGGTTTCAAATCGAGAAATTGGAGCCCACACCAAGATGGGGTGTCCCCTCTTTTGAGACCCCACACGCACGTCTAAACCTCTTGGTTTGAAGCTCCCCTTTCAGAAATCATGCTTTGGCAGGGCCCTGCCTGAGGGTTCCGTCCACGCTTTTCAAAAAGGTACCATGCTCAACCCAGCTCAGTTTAGTATGACAATGGGTACAAATTGGGTAGCTGATCTCAGTTTAACTGTCTTTGTGACCTCTACTGTCGGGTAAAGATTTTCCATTGCTTGATGCAGTGCTCCTGTTGGTGTTAAGTAAGGACCAAGCAACAGCGACTTCGCGCTGATCCTTGCACAGCTGCAGAAACAAGCGAGTGCTTGGACCACGCCCGCGGAAGAAGTTGCTGTTTGAGTCCCGCTTGGGGTTATCAACCAAACATATCAGCTACGAGTGGTGGTCATCCAAGTAGGATTCCCGATGTGTGTTGGGGGTTTCCCACAATGTTTGGGAAAGGACTCCTTTCAAAGAATCCTGGAGACTCTGTCTATACTCCACGTGGGTTGAATACCCATGGGGTGGGAGTCATTAAAACTCATTGATGAATATTTCAGTCAAGAACTCTAAAATCGAATACCCTAGAAAAGAAGGTTGCAAAAAGTAACACTAAGTGCAACCACCACCACGCAACAACCTGCCCTCGGGGCACTTGTTGGCCTGGGCAAAACCGCAGGCCTTGCCAGAGATGCCGCCGCAGCAGTGCTTGGGCGACGCCCTGCGCCAGGCAAGGCATGTTTCCCCCGCTTCAAAAGACGGAAACAGGGTTGTGGGATCAAGAGATATATCCCCACTTCTGTGATACAAGGGAATCTCCCCCTTTATATGGGGGGTTAGTCTTTGGGAAGCCCCACAGCCCTGGACGGAAATGCCACCAAACAAAACTCGGAACAGGGATTATGGCTAGCAAGGGAGAAGGTACAAATTATAAGCGGGAAACCACAACTTGCTGGTGCCATAGGGGAATGAGAAATGGAATGACCCTAAGAAAAACCATCCCTGCATGGTTTCCTGTAAGGGGACCAAAGCCTGGGTTCATTGCCGCAAGCAACAGGGAAGCTTAGGAATCTTGCCGGTGCGATTAGGTAGGGAATGAATGTTTTGGGAATGAACCCAGGGGTTTCCTTTACACAAGGGATGGTTTATAGGGATCATTCCCTCATTCCCTGCTGAGCACCAGCAAGAACAGGGGATGGGGTTGTCTTGAGCGTTTTGGTTGGCTTACTAGCTCCGGATCAAGTCGGGAGGGGCTCTGCTGAGAGGTTGGAAGCCGGAAGGCCTTCCAACGTATCAAGGAGGAAAGGCACTTCCCGAATTAGAAACCACGTGCTAAATGCTGAATCCCACCTATTACTGCCGGAAAATGGTTAGCCACCTTCATTTATGTCCTGCATGTCTTAGCATGTCCTGTCGTCATAATTCATGTGCGATTATATAATGCGTGATTAAGATATGAAATGGCAAGAGATAGAAACTGTGTCGTGCTTGATTACGAACAAGGGAACGGCCTGACAATTAGACCCTGAGCATGTTCTTCTTGATTGACTCGCTCACTCATCGAGCAATCTTGTACATTACCATACCCCCAGTGAACATCCCAATCCCCACAAAAATCGGTTCTAAAATGAGTGGTGAATTCACCCACCCCAAAATGGGATCCCATTGGTTTAACCCACACCCGAATGGGTTGCTGATGCCAACAGTCTGGGATGGCTCGCCTCGACCGCCGGCAGGGATCCCTAAAAAACAACAACTAGGGCCCCAGTAGTGCCCTTCTCTCCCCTTCTTTGGGGGGAGGGTTCCCCACTAAAATAGACTACAGAGAAAAGTTGGTACCAACTTATTCTAGCCTCTCTACTGGAGGACCTAGCCAAGTTAAGCCAAGTTGATACGCCCCAAAGTGAGGTTGCCCACCCACCCCACCTGAAGGTCCACCTTGCAGATTGCTTCTTGTGCAAAAACACACTCACTCCACATGGAGTTTTTACGGACTTCAGTCACTTTTTGGGCTTTGGAAATTCTAGCAGCAAGCAAAAGTTTGCATGTGTTTTTGGCCCATCCACTCAAGGAGAGAGACCAGCGGTCGTTCTCTCTTCGTTTGTGATTTTCTGAAGGGCCCGTGTTCACCAACAAAAAGCCTGGCTGATTTTCTGATTGGCGCCGCGGAAGTCTTCCTTTGTGGAAAATCCATGGCCCTAGAGGGCCCAAAGTGCTAAAGTAGCCTTAGTGTGGATGGACTTGATCCATTTCGCACCACCTAAGAAGCCAGCTGGGAAACCGCTGTTGGTATTTAGAGGTGGATCGTCAACTCCTTCCCTTGCTCTGTTGCAACCAGTGGATTCCGGCCCTTGCCTTCTTTGGGGGAGATGTTCCCCTTTTTTAGTCAACCAACTCAAAAATCGGATGCCCCTGTTGGGAGAATTGTACATCATTCCCTTGGGTTTCTTCGACCGGTGCTGCGAGACTCGCGGATTCCATGGGGAATCCCAGTCTTTGGTCTCGGACGCGCACGCGAACGCTCTGCAGGTGGCAGAGGAGGCCAAGTCCTGGGAGGCGGACTCCATGGTGCAGGCGACGACGACGGCAGCCGAGAGAGAAACCACTTTTAGGGCGTCCAACTTTGCTGCTTCTAAAGGAATACGTATGTCGTTGTTTTTTCCTCACGTTGGTTTTAAGTGGAAACGATTTTTTCACTGCTGGAAGTAAGGTCCTTGTCTTTCCCGGCAGGTGAAGTTGATCTTGTCCGGTTCTGGAGGGTTCCAGTGCCGGGGATGTCACCTGGGCGTGGTCAATTCTGTTTGTCGGGGGGACCCCTTTAAAATCAACTTCTGAACTTGTTGGGCTTCCAAACCCAACGACTTGAGGGTGTGCTGAAACCGGGGTGGGGGAGGGCGAAAACAAGGTATCCCGTGTGGCTCGGTGTTTTTTTCGTTGGAATACCCCCAAAAATGGAGTTCGGCCGCAAAAATGGACGAGCCACCCATTCAGAAACAACCAACCTTCAGGTATGCGCCTTTTTTGGTGGCACCAGTTGCCAAGTTTCAATGGCCATTTGGCCTAGATGTCCTGAGCTTCAGGGTAGCTGCTGGGTTGCCTGGTGCCAAAAAACGTGCCTCGCCACTTGTTCTCTCCGCAAGTGCCATTTTGCAGCGAAGGTCCACCAGACGCCGGCAAAAAGTGGGCAATTTGTGGTGGCCGACTTGTTGACTTGGGTTCGAAACGCTCGCCGGCAAAAAATCGTGAACTTGATGTAAAGGTGAAAGTGTTACACGTGTGTGTTCCTTCCCTTGCGTTGGGTGTCTTGGTTCAGGTGAATTTTGGGTGAGGCTTCACAACATGAGCTCGACCCTTTTGTTTTGTGTGTTTGGGTGTCCAACGGACACCGAACGTGTCAGCGGGCAACTGGGCTAACATACCCAAAAACGGTGAAAGGTTGGGTAGTTTCCCACTGAAAAGCAACAGGTGTGACTTGGTGATAACCACGGATCTCTACACATGTGAGTGTGTCTTTTGATTCAGGGTAGCCCCTTTTTTTCGTGGTTTCAAAGGCAACACCAAATGGACACCTTCCCATTTGGTGCATATGGTGGGTCCGATTCCTAAAAGAAGACGAGCCACCGATGCAAGCAGCTCAACCAATACATTCCGCGCAGGACTTGGAGGATGGACAGCCAGCTGGAAGCCCAATGCTTTGGGAATCCTGGTGCGGTTGGGTCAAAATGAGGTCCAAAACGCGGACTTTACTCGCTGGTGTCAGAAGGGATTCCCTTAAAGGAAACCATAGGGAAGGGTTTATAGGGGGTCATTCCCTCATTCCCTGCTGAGAACCAGCAAGCTTAGCTTTTTGGTTGCTGGACCAGTCTAGTGGTAAACAAACAGTTTGAGTACTTGTTTTGGCCCATCCACAGAAAGTGAGAGGTTGTTTGCAGAGCAACACATGTTTAAGGAGAGAAGCTGCCTTGCCCCTAAGCCCCTTACAGTGGCAAAAAGCCTCCGCACCTCCAAACAACCTGAACCAAGGTTGGGCTTTTTCAGTATAGGTCGATGTTTCGGCAAGGCCTCAAAAGTTCTTTGGCCAAAGGCCCCAAAGAGAGTGGACAAGGGGTTTCTGGACATGCGGGTGTGCCCCTTTTATGAGGCTCGGTACCCTTTTTGGGACTTGGTTTGAAGGGAGCAAGAAAACCGCAATCCATTTTGGGGGTGGCCCTATTGTGAGACCAAACATGTGTTAGACACTTTTGCTGCCTCCCTGTATCCTCAAACGGGCTCGCCCAGGTCAGGCCTTTCGCTTCCTACGGAACGCCGGGGGGGGGGGGGGGGGCCACCATTTCGGACAAGCTCTCCCTAAAGTCACGTGGGTGCATGTGTCGGTGTTCGATGAGAACCCTTTTGGGGTTCGGTTTTTCGGAAATCAAAGGGAAACACACCATTGTATTTGCTTATTTATTTTTTTGGGGGGACCCAAAAAAATGCCGCACCCAAAATGAAAATCATTCCATCTTACCATTTTGCTGTGTCCCCTTGTCTCCTTTACCCCACCCACCAAAAGGAAAGACCACAATGAAAGCCGCCGAGCCTGGCAAAGGGGGTTCCTAGATTCTCAGTCTGGGCCCCCCCAAACTGCACCAGGTTCCCTTTTGCTTCCCTTTCAAACCAACCTAAATTTCAAAAAAGGGCACCCCCCAAAAGACAATATCTCAAAGGTTTCCCTGTTGCTTCCGCCAACCTAGATGTTAAAAAGGCAACCTCAATTCCAAAAAAGGGCACCCTCAAACAGCCAAGACCCGCACCGCAAATCTGATTTCGACATTTCAAGGTCCGTAGCTCGCTGGCGGGGCTGCTGGGCTATGATCTGGCGACTCGGCGGGGGGGTCCTTCTGATAGTTGTCCTTCTTTTTCTGTGACAAACAGACCAAGAACGATGAATTCACTCACCGGGAGAACAAAAGGAATTTGCATTTATTATTTTTCCGGCGCACACTAAAAAAAGCACCTGCTTGGTTCCGATTTCTGCTCTTGTCTTTGATTCGCCCTTCCCACTGGTTGATTGTCCCATAGTTGCTCGCTCAGTGAACTCGACATGGGTGTGGTGTCTTTTGCCCCAACGGATTTCGGTCCTCTTGGTCGTGACCTTGTTCAAGCCAACCAGGAGGTACCCTCAAAACAAAACACCCATCTAGCAAAACACGCCCTGAAATAGGAATCAGCAGGGGCAACGCAGCTGCTACCATTCTTGTTATTGTCTGGTTCTACCAGAAGTCAAATGCACACTTTCAATGGACCTTTGCTGGGTAAGAGCAGAATTGTTAGTTTCCCCCAGAAGAAACAACAGCATGTCTTGTTTTCTCCCTAAACTAGAACAGATTGTTCAACTTTGAATTGCCCGTAATGATGCGGTGTCGTTTTGGTTTCCCTTTGTCCTTTCATTCTGCCTTGGTTGGGGGTCAGCGACCAAAATCAGACCAAGCCTCCGAGGTCCCAGATATCCATCTGAGGCCCTCCTTTGGAGCGTTTTCGTTTTTTCCAGTGGCAACCGGGAATTGGCACCCCAAAAACATGCCCCAAAAAATGACAAACCATACCCATAGTCTAGGGCTCCTTGCCCATTCAAAGAATGGCAAGGACCCAGTGTGGATGATGAGTTACTCCTGAACGGTAAATGATGGTGGTTATACCAACCTCCGAAAACGAGCGACCCCCAGGTCCTTGCCATTTGCGAGGGGCCGGATTTCCCGCCGAGCATGTGGAGGGCATAAGGTGCACGCTTTTTCAGCGTGGACTCATCAGCTTGAACTTTGGCAAAGTTATTTGTGCCATCACTTAAACATCCTCTAAACGACCACCACTAAAAATGCCTTTCTGGTTTTTGGCCTGTTTTTTTTTAGGAAACCAGAAAAAGAAAAGCCATCCTTTGGGGGGTGGGTCCCCTGAGGGAATCGTTGGAGGTGCAGTGGACTCAGCCCTTGGCGTTGGATCACTTGCCGGAGGAGGGCGCGCACCTTGCCATGGACAGATCGTCCTCGATCGAAATGCGACATGCGCCATGCGCCCCAAAGGCTCATGGACTTGGTGTATACCTTCCTTTTTGGTTGCTCCCAAAGAATTCGGGCGGGGGGGGGGGGTGATATCTGTGTATGTATATATATATACACCTTTTTGGTTGCAGAGGGACCATCTGAATGACCAACCAAAAGTTGGAGGGGGGGTTGCATGTTTGGCTTTTGGACCCCCCACCCACCCCGATCTTTGAGACACATCCTCAGACATGGTGGAAAACTTTGCTCAAGACGGCCAGTGTCGGAATGCTCTGTGGTATCATAGAAAGGCTCATGTTCGAGACACATCAGGTTGGCACTTGCACCCATCAGTGGTTGTTAGATGTAAAAGAACAGATCCAAGTTGGTACATTCCAACGGTTTGTGCATACGTTTGATCCAATCGAGTAAGTTTGTTTGATGGAAGTTCATGCGTACCGTCCCCATTGGTCTCAAAAGGAACGGCTCAAATCCCCAAACCACCAATCCAAAGCACCAATTAAGGGGAACCAATGTTTAAGATGGGCCCTCCAAAGCTACTTCCTGTAACTTACGGGGGCGTAGTTTAAAAGCGAGGGAGGATGTCTTGGCTTCTTGTCGTTGAATGGCTGGGCCTCGTCGAACGTGGCAGATACTGCTTGTCAGAAATGGCAGGGGGATATCCAAAAACAGAAGGGTTGTGCTTCCAGAGACAGGGGCCTTTCTCGTGGCGGGCAACACGAAATCAAAAGGCTACCGACCGTTTTTACAAATCTGTGCTGTCTTTTGTGTTGAGGGTGCGTTGCGGTTTTTTTCTAAAGGCAAACCAAAAGGAAACTACCCGTTTGGGCGGGGGGGTCCCCATTTTGAGACCAGCTCAAAAGCACCCCGTGCGACATGCGATCCAACGATCCTTCGCTGTTTGCTGTTCTACCCTTCCTCCAAACGCGGGAGCTCGCGAGAGGCTTTCCACTTCTTCTTTCAGGTTTTGGACATGCAAAACAAACACATGCAGATCTGTCCCTGGTTATGACTCACGACCTAATTGGGTTGAACACCCAAGCAGGACATGCCAAAATTGGCCTGTTGACTCCCCGCGCTCACTCGAGTGAGACCAAATGCCGCGGGGGGGGGGGGGGGGGGGGGGGCGTTTTCTTTGATTTGTGACGCTTGGCTGTTTGTTTTGTTGTGTTAATGAACCAAAGTGGATTGGTTTATCAACCAGGTCCTTACCAACTTTTTGGGGGGGGAAATTCGGTTTCCATACTAAAATAGACTACAGAAAAAAAGGTGACCTTATTCTAACCTCTCTAAAGGAGGACCTAGTCAATCCGGGGTCGACATGAAAGAAATCGGAGATTGGACTTCAATGGCTTTCGGTGGGGAGGGCCGCAGGTTGCTCACCCGAAGGCAAATCAACTGGTCCGATCTGACCTGATTTTCAAGTTGATCACCTGCAAATTTAACCGGATCCCGAACAAGGGGGTCCCCAAAAGAGGTTTCCTCTAAAACTAATGGTTTGCTAGGTTCCATGTGAGTCTGCAGGAGTGTACGGTCCTGAAAGGTTACCCTCTTTTCCAACACTCGTGCATGACGATTGGGGGGGTACCATCCTCTGACCAACGCCCTTTGTCCATGGTTGGGGACAAAAGGCTAACTATTGATGTTCCGGTCTTCTGGGCAGGAAAGCTTTTTGGATCACTGAACCGTGGAGTTTGACATGTTGGAAGACTGGGGCTTGTCTGGGGTAGACTTAGGATACATTTTACGTTTTACTAGTGACTCCATGTGAAGCAAACAATAAAATACACATTCTATAACTGGGCCTAACTCTAATCATGTTGTGATGTCACCGGGTTTTCGAGGGCGAGTCTTTGGCTCACGTGTCATGAACGGCGAAGCGAGGCTGCTGGGGGTGCTGTACCGAGTGGACCGCTGGCTCGTGCACCAGAGGCTGGGTAGAATCATGAGAGCATCACCCTGTCTGGTCGGTTCAATTTGACCAGGGACAACGGATTGGGGGGTTTTTAAGGGTTCCCAGCTTGGTCGACTCGGGCGACAACACACATGGTTTAGGCATGATGGTGAAAGAGGAGTCGTAAGGTGTGCTGTGTGTCCCCCTTGTGGCTCTAGTAGACACTAGAAACCTAGTGGGCTCTACTGTGGAGGGACAAAATCCATTTCGCACCACTGCGAAACATGGGAAACCATTGTTGATAGAAAACTAACCAACCCCAACAATTTCTTGGGTGGTGCGAAATGGATTTCATCCATCCACAGCATGGGGTCCATGTGCTTAAGAATGTGTCGTTTATTTTCCTTGTTGGTTTTAAAGGGAATCGATGTCACTACTGGAACTGGTTTGTCTCTTTTCTTTCTTTCCCGCGGGAGGCGTATTCGCAAACGGAAGATGGGTATGTGTCAACGGGGTACCCCCCTTAAATGTCGTCCTCCAGCGTGTTTCAATCAACCCAGAAAGAATACCCTCAAAACCAGAGGTGTGTTTTTTTGGATAGTTTGGTTAGACATGGATGGCCCTAGCTTAGATAAGTCTTGTTCAAAATTTACCAGGGCTATGTATTTTGTCCGCAAGGTCACCTATGTTCAAAACTGACTCCCTTTGGGGAGGCCATGTTGGGAACGCAAACCAAAAAGAGCGGTTGAGTACAACGAGGGCTGATTTGGCAGACGCCACAATTCCTCCAGGTTAATTTAGTCATCCCCTTTGAGAGGGAATTGTGCCAACATTGCTCAAGAAGTTCCTGTAACCACTGAGATGGATACCCCGATTACTGGGATCCATCACCTTGCCAGCTGCTGGACTGTGTCCATGGACAGAACGGGAGATCGGGATGTTTTCCAACACTCAACCTGATCCATAGGCCAAGAAGAGATAAATCGAAGATCGCAAAGGCAAGTTCAGGGATGGAAAAGCAGGGTCCCTTTTGCACAAAACCTGGTTGATCAACTGAGATTCCCATTCCAGAGGGGCTCGGTTGCGGGAACCATCCGCCAGGTTTGCATGATTCGAACAGGAGGCTTGAGGTTCGCTCACTTTGGACCAGAAGCAAAAACAAAAATCAGTTTTGGGTTGGGCAAAGGCTGAGGTAGGCGAAGCCAACTTGAATTGCGTATCCTTTGGGTTGGGAAAGCAGTTGTGTCCTGAGAAACCCATCAAATCTGCTGTCCCCCAACTCCGAGAGAACAGAGCTAAGGGCTGCAAGATCTTTGCCAACTGATTCCCAATTGGTGACCGTTTTACCGCTGGGCAAGGGAGTACGATTCGGTTCCGCATTTGGGCACATGGGAAGAGCAATCAACCAGTCGCGTGCCCTGAAATCAAAACACTGAAACCCCCCAGTCCAACCCAGAACTAACCCGGATTTTGGTCTTGATCTTCAGGCATCAAGACATATTCCTCTGCCTCACTTTTCCGGTTCTTGGGATTTGCGCATCCGCGGAAGTCTTTCAGTCAGCTTCTGCTCCGCATCATCCGACGCCGAAAAAAAAAATGGCTCGTTTGGTGGGTGTCCATGGCACCGCGGCTATAAACGGAACGCGTCTCGCGACATTCTAAGAATGTGTCCGAGCTGGTTGAATTGGGGTGGTAGCTTCTAAGCCATGACCATCTTAGCACCAAACGTCGGGTGTGCCTGCTAGAATCTGAAAAGTGCAAAGCAGTTTGAGTTAAAGTTTTGAGTGGGTCTTTGGAAAGATTTGTTAACCATACACCCAGCCAACCCAAACCACCATTATTACTTGCTTGCTTGCTTGCTTTGCTTGCTTGCTTGCCTTGCCTTGCCTTGCCTTGCCTTGCCTTGCCTTGCCTTGCCTTGCCTTGCCTTGCTTGCTTGCTTGCTTGCTTGCTTGCTTGCTCGGTTGGGAAAGTGGGAATGAACCCAATCTCCTTAAAGGAGACCACAGTTGCTTGCTTGCTTGCTTACTTACTTTCTATGTGTGTTGAACATCGTGCGGTGCAAAAGTGTACTTAGATTCAGGCTTGAGCATCCAAGTAGGGTCTGTGTGTTAGTTGGCACCTTGTTCACCTTGGCACCCCCTGTCCAACAGTGAGTTCCGGGGGCCTTACAAAAGTAGTCTTCCAAAACCCTGCGATCGTCAGCTTTGATTGAAGAGAGGGTAAGAGCAACAAGAAAACCCCGAAATCCACTTTGAGAGTCCGGGGATCGCTCCATTTCTGCTTCGTCCCTTAGGGTTTTCGGTTGTTAGGTTTAGTGGTTGGGTTTCCATTGAACCCCTAGATATGTTTAGCCTTACTCCCTGAGTTCAGGACTTGAAACTTTTGGGAAGACCATTTTGGAGGCGACAAAAACGTTTGGACTTTTTTGGCCCGTCAGGTCCAAGCAGCAGCTTCTGTTGGTGGCGCCGCCGGGCGACGTTTGGGCCTGCCAAGCTGCCAGCTGCCTGCGGCACGCGCTCGTGCCTCGTATGTTCGAAGAATTTCTGCGGGGCAAGCGGGGGGGTGTCTCCGTTGTGCCTGCGAGAGGGCGGTTTCCAAAAAAAATGATGAACACTTGGAATCTTTTTAGAAACTCAATCCTCAACAACGCAAAAGCCAACTGGGAACCAAGGAAATCAACACCACTAGAGGAATCCGCAAGCTTCCAGTGAGTGAGGGGTTTTCCCTTTGCCCGTTGTTGGAACCCGGGATTCATCAAGCCCTTGGTTGATTCATGCAGCTTGTTCCATTGTTTAGGAGATATATTTTTTTATGTCTCATACACAGGATCCTTTCATTTCTCTAGGTCCTCCAGTGGAGAGGTTAGAATGAGGGTACCCTTTTTTCAGTAGTCTATTTTAGTAGGGGAACCGAATCTCCCCCAAAAAAAAGTTGCCGGGAGACCTAGTTACTCTTGCAGAACCCTCCCCCAACGAATCCTCCAGGTTGATTTAGGGTTGAAACGTGGTTTCACAGTTGGCGGGTGTGTCCGTGGTTTCGCTCCTTTGGTCTTCACGTCACTGTAGTTGGCATGTTTTGTCGTTTATGTGTTTTTTTTTGTTTTTTTTTGTTTTGTTTTTTTTTGTTTTGTTTTTGTTGTGTTTTGTTTGTTTGCTTGCTTGCTTGTTTGTTTGTTTGTTTGGTCTTCTGCATTTTAGTAGAAAGCTGCAAAAAGCAGCATCAGTGTTTTTTTGCAAAGCCTATACTATATACCTTTTACAAAGTTTACCACGCTGCAAAGGAAACAACCTCTTTTGCCAGTGGCTTTCGAAGACTGAGCCCGCTGGAAATTGGGCCACCAGTTTTCCGTTCGGTCACAGGTGGGGCTTTCAAACGGGGGTCCTCGGTCGGGACATTCGCATAGGTCCAAGAATTTCTCTCATGAGGATTCGTTTGGGTTCCAGGGTATGCTCCAAATGAATCTTCGGACCGCCTTTTGGGAAATCAACCCGAAAGCAGTTGCCCACGCTCTCCCCACAACTGGTCTGGGACGTGGAACGCCAGAAAGAAGATGTGAAGAATCTGTGGGAAGAGACAACCCGTGAGTGACATTGGAGCGCAATTGATCTGACAGGGGATCCGAGGAAATTAGCCTATTCATTAGCAAGGTTCCATGCGGGGTCGCCATACCGAGATGCCTTGGACGGATCTGTTTGCCTTTCCTTGGTGACCAAAAAGGTGAGGCAAGCAATACTAGGTCCCCCAGTAGTGCCCTTTTACCTTTTTTTTTGGCGGAGGGTTCCCCTGCTAAAATACACTGCAGAAAAAAGTTGGTGTTTTTATTCTAACCTCTCCACTGGAGGAGCTAGGAGCCTTACAGGGATTCATTCCTGTCATGACGAGATGTTCGGCGCCCCAAGCGGGGCCAAAGATTGAGAATGGAGTAGGGTTGTAGCTACCTGAAAGCCGAATTGTTCGTCATGATCACAAGAGAAACGTGCGCCTAGATAGCCAAGTTGCCGCTTTTTTCAGTCACTGTTGCTGTTTTTTGGGGCTTTGAGTGCATGGAAAAAGGAAATCGCAACTGGCGATCCAGGTGTGTGAGTATTTCGCGAATCAAGGGCACAGGTCGCCTCCCGAGATTGGGACCTGTCCGCTCGGTAGGTCGGGCAACCAGGCCATTTCAAGCGGACATGCGCAGAGGTCCGAGAACCACAATCCTCCCATCAAGGTTCCTTGAGGTTTACGCTTTTTACTCGAAAGGCTGAGGGAGCTTAAGCCCTGACGCCTAGTACACGTGAGTCCCTACTTAAGCTTGAATGCCCCCTATTCAGTCCGATTAAGATTGGCCTTAAGCCCTACTTTATTGACCGCTAAGACCTACTTAAAAGCTGCATTGACCCCCAATTCACCCCAAGCCCCACGTGAAAGCTGTATCCCAAGCCACGCTTAACCCTTGAGTCATAATCAAAACCCGGTATTCAAATGGCTAGCCAGAACCATGTAAAGAATGAAGAAGGCGGCCGCAGCTATTTATGGTTGGGAGTATCCCTTGCCAACCTTCATCTACCCGGGCTTTGATTGTGGCTCCCTTGTTATGCGCTCCTTTTCTAGGGTCTTTTATGATGGCTTAGGATCTCTTCGGCGCGGAAGTTTCTCCGCCGGCAGTGGGACAGCAGGCGAGGAGGGCGGAGACAGACGTTCAGACGTTCAACAGATTCCCGCTAACAGGGTTGCATGTGGGTGGTATTTCTTGAGGGTGGCTGGTGCTTGGTGGCGGTTTCAAAGGAACAACAAAAGGAAAGCCAACATTTGGGGGGCGATGGTTGCCCTTTTGGTGCTTCAAACATGTCCTTTGGTGTTATATTAGCAGTTTTGTTGGGGTAAAGGGCAAACATAGGGAACCCTGACTAACCGCGGTCCAGCTGCAAGAGGCGACCAAGTCGTTTTCTACTGGGCCAATATGCTTCAAAGTCGCCATGGCCATGCGAGGTGCGAAGTGCGTGCGAAGTGCTTTTGGTGCCAACTTGGCTGGAAAACAACTGGATCCTTACTTTGACACTTTTGGGGTCTTTGGGACCCCTTAAAAGGGCCCCGTAAAATGTATACCTGGAGTCTCCTGCTGACCCCTGCTTGACTGCTGGGTTGGATCTTTAGACTTTATCATTTCGGTTGAAATGAAGTTGGGATTTCCGTACACCCCCAAAAAGTGATTCACTTTTTGCAGGGGGTCAACAGCAAGCAAGCCAACGTGCCCTTGTTTGGTAAGGGAACCAAAAGGAAACCTGTTCCACCAGACCAGGAAACACGGGCGTGGACCATATGATGACCCCGGGCAGAATCTCACATGGAGCCCAAAACCCGGGGTCACGTGTTTTGCACTATGGCCAGTGGAGGTATGAATTATATATATATATATATGGTTCTTTTGAGGTGATTCGTCAACCTTTGGGACATGTTAATATTAGTGTCCTGTCGGTGACAGATTTCGAAGCAGAATTCTTGCCACAGCAAGCAAACGATTAGTCACTTGTTCCAGCCAGTCATATCCGAGCAAACCAGCCGGAAACGTATGAAGGTTGCTTGCAGAACAAGTGTGTTTTGGTGATGTTTATTCACCCTGCATTGTTTCTCACTGACATCTGGAAAATAGGCAGAATCCTCCAAGACAAACAGTAAACAAAGAAACAATGTGTTTCCCTGGTCGTCTTCTGTGGGGGCTTGGTCTTTGAAGTTTGCTGCTGCAAAACTAGGCAGGCGGGTGGTGCTCGTTTGGGGGTTCTCCCTCCTTGGTTGCCAAAAGAGCACAAAGCTGGAACGCCTTGGTTGCAGGGTCTGTCGCAGAAAAAGCAAGAATGTTTTGAATCTGAAAAGGGAGGTCCCTAAAAGGAAATGCGCAAAAAGCTCGTCATGCCTAAGAATTACAATGAGCTTGCGTTCACGGAGAAGGTTCAGCGGCACCCTTGTCCCTTCCTGGCGGCTTTCCCACTGAAATCGTCCCCGAAGGGACCACTGCACCTCCCATTCTCGTCATACTGATCAGAACCCTCACATTTTCCCAGGGGTTGGCATATCTGCTGAAGAGAAGTTGCCACGAACAGCATGACCAACTAAGGTACGGCTAGACACTTTGCGAAGATGAAGTGTCATTCATGCTATATGGGTCTGCCGCAGTAGTGGAACCCTTAGTCGGATGGCTGCAAAGGGCACCAAAAGGAAACCAACCACCCAAAAAGAAAGTCAAACGGAAACCAACCAACCAAAAAGAAAGCCTCGTTGGTACCCGTTTTTGGGTGGTTTGTTTGGGACACCTCAAGGAAAACCGACCACGGACCCTCTTCGAGCGTTCCCCAAGACAGACTCACACCTCGCACAGGCGGCCAAAAGCAACGCGTCCAGTACCCTTTTTCCAAAAACCCCAACTCGCCCAGAGGGTCCAAGTACCTTATATTTGCAGATTCGAGGAATCTGTAAATGATAAATCCCCTTGAGCCAAACCCAAGACCTCAAATATGGGGTACTTGGACCCTCTGTGTCACTCTAAAGGAACAACAGTGTCCAGTACCCTTTTTCCGGAGACCCCCAACTCACTCCAAAGGGCTTTTTATTGGGTGTTTGCCGGTTCTTTGGTTGTGACACATGTTCATTTACGGCAGGGGGTTCTCTTTTCCCTCGCGGGTTCAAGAATCTCTCACGGGAGGGTTTTACATCCCCCCCCCCAACGTGCCTCGAGGTCGAGGCACTGCGAAGTGCACCGCCGCCACTTCAGCGGCTCCAGCTGCTGCTGCGTCATCTCCGCCTGTCTCCCGAAGCGCTCCGGGAGGTGCCGAGCCGAACCGCAGGGTGGATGTTTGTTTGTTCAAAGACGCAAAACGATCGAAGTTCGAACACTTCCCAACTCGGAGGGTTGGTTTGAAGGGAAGCCAAAGGAAAAAATCGCCGATTTTGGGGTTTCCAAATACTTTGAGACATGTGCCAAAGCGTATGGCTGAGTGACGTCAAGCCCGTGGCTCGATCTGGCTACCAGCTGTCCGTAGCTGTGGCCACCCGGAAGACTTTGAGAATGCGAAATCGGCGTCGATTTTCCTTTGGTCGGCAAGAACACGTTTTTTCCCACCATGGGCGTGCTTCAAAACGGAAGCGCTGCTCAGGTCCCAAACCGAGGGTTTTGATCCGAGGCTTCGGGTTCACGTCGTGCCAGGAGTCGTCCAAAGGCCCTGTCCGCGAGGTCTACAGCAGCCCGGTGCTCAGACTGGCAGGTCGACTAAACAAAAGAAACTGTGTGTGTGTGTCTGATTCTTTTTCCGGTTTCCTTTTGGGTTGCGGTTTGATTTAACTTTTGGATGTCCCTTCTCAATTGGTTTCCCACCCGTCCAGCCAATTGTCCAAACCAGGCACGTGGACTGAGACACTCAAAGAGTCTGCGACACGACTACCTCGACTCGGCCAAGAGCCTTAAGGACCGTTCGGGTTTTCTCTATCAACATGACCCTTGCTTCAGACCTGACCGGGCAGATGATGCGATCTTTTCGAAGGCCCAAAGTTGAAGCTCAGGTTGGATGTTGCAGTTTTGGTTGGAGCCAGAGGGCCACACCGAACGGTGCTGTTGGAGTCTTTGCACCTCTTGGGATCTGAAGGCAGCCCCCTGCGAGCAAAGGGGAGGTAAAACAACGAAAACCACTTGCTGGTAGGGAATGTGGGACTAAACCCAGGGATTCCCGAATAAAGAAAGCCATAAGAGAAGGTTTATAGGGGTCATTCCAACTCCTTCCCTGAGCACCAGGAAGCAAAGCATGAAGCTCCGTCAGTTCATCCCATCCTTGTCGGTTTTGGAATGCTTTCCGAATGGCTGCTGATAAGTTCCCTGGAGAAAATGTTCTGGAAGAGGACTTTGGGGGAAGCACCCGGAACCCACTTCCATGAGTCCGTTGGAGACGACTCATAGCCATAGAGGCGGGATACTTGGAAAAATCCCTCACTTCACTGTGAATTTTATTTAGTGAAGGAAGTGTTCTCAAGCATGGAACCCACAAAAGCAGCCGTTTTGGGGGAAGGACCCTCTGTTCGCTATTTCAGACAATTTCGACTAGCCCCAAACGGATGCAGATGAAGTCGTGTCTGGTGAGTGGCGTGTTCTTGTTTTTTTCCCGCAAAGCCCCAGTGCCCAAAAAAGGCCAACAAAAGAGGCCTTCATGTGGTGAATCCAGAAATCGCACCGATCAGAAACCCCTACGGGAGTGAATTGAAAATACCGTAACAAACCGTAAACCTGGTTTCATTCCCATGGGTTCATTTCGTGAAGGAAGTTCGAGTTCAGCAAGATCTTAGTTGGAATCCTGTGAGGTCTGTGCGTGGGGTCGGAAATGCCCTCAGGTTCACGTTCACATGGAACCAGCCCATCCAATTTGAGCGGAATCTCCCTAAAGGCGGAACCTTTTGGGTTCCTTCCCCGAGAAAATGCAGAAGATCCCAGATTTCCGCGATGAAACCACTAGCCCCAGATGAAAGTAGTGGCCATATGGTGGCAGAAAAAGTCCCATGAAGCCCCTGACTATGCCAGATCCTGTGCATGGTTCAGACCCTTCAGAATGGTGCCCTCGAAAACCCGCAGCACAAGGCACCCTTTCCCCGGCAGTTGCCTTTTCCTTAAGTTCCCTGGCAAAGCATCCAGCAATAGATTCTCGTGAAATCTCGGGGGCCAAAACGTAGCCACGCGCCCCTCCGTTTCCTTAAGTTTCCCGGAAAAGCATCCAGCGACACATTCCTCTTAAAACAAACGGCCCAAGACGTGGCCACGCGCCCCCAAAAAAATCGGGTTATTCGCCCCAGGCATCGACGACGCAGCGCACATGAAGGCGGTGCACCAGGTCCAGGAGGCGATCCGCGCCGGGCACTTCTACCAGCTGAACTTCGGCAGGGCCTGGCAAGGCCCGACGCATACGCCGGACGATACGTCCTCCAAAAACAAAAGTCGATGGCCATGGGGAGACTTGAAAGGCACGGGGGAAATGAGTTAGTTGCATCGTAAATCAGGTATATGCATATAATTGTCCAAAAAATGATTTGGCTGCGAGTCAATTTATAAGGTCCGGAACAGGGTCCGGAACCCACATGTGATCCAGACCTCCGTTCCAGACCTTGCCTAGAAACAAATTCCAGACCTTCCGTTCCAGACCTTGTTTATGTATATTTATGTCTAGTATTGATTCAGACGGTCAGGTGATTTGGTAGGTTATTGAACCCCCCCTTGTTTTGCCAAATACTACGCGTTAAAGCTGGTGTTCAAAAAAAGCTTGAGGTGCTAACGATGGGTTTTCCTTGTCGAGCTTTGGTGGTCAGGGCTGCGTGGCTTGTAATCATTGGGACTTGGATTGGGCAGCGGTCCTGTTGACACATGTGTTTTTGGAACGGCCTGTCAATGTTAAGGGTCAACCCGCCGCTATCTGTTCGATACGACGGTAACGGTTCAATGCCGCTCTCAGTCGTCACATGGTTGAAACGACCATGTTTAAATGCTGCTTGCTAGCATTCCGTGCAAGCCACCCGCGGAACCGTTGCAGACCCTCCAGACCCGTTCCAGAAGTGTTCCAGACGCGGCGAAGCAATTTGCCACCAAGTCCGCATGCACACACATGCCCCATGCAAGTAGCTGCGCTTCTTACGCGGCCCGCCATGCCGCCCAAGAAGCCTTCGAGGAGGTGCCGTATCGTAAGGCCGCGCGCCCCGCTTCATCCATCCATCTACCCATCCATCCATTCATCCATCCATCTATCCATCTTACACTCAACGAACTGTGCGCTTGAGGACTCCACACATGTCTTCCCAGAGGTCCAGAACAACCAACCTTACGTAACTGACTCGTTCCAGACGTCCGCGTCACCGCGGAACGTTCCACGCCAGAATATGGACCCACACCCATGTATATATATGTATATATATATATATGTATATGTGTATCAGTCAATATATATGGATATATATACACATGGTCCAACCGTTTCCCTAAGGTAAGTTCCAAAAGTGGGCAATGTGCCTCCGTTTCCCTTGAGACGCCCTTTTTCAAGACACACGCCCAATTGACGTCTCAAATGAAGAAAACACCAGCGAGCTGCTTCTTGATTTGGCACACCGATGGGAAAAAGGCAGGTGAACGCCAACTTGGGTGTTCAACCCACCAGAAGTGGCACTTTGGAAAGGGAAATCCGACTTGTGACCCCGGATCTAAGTAGAACCCGGATCCTTGTTTGGGGGGAACACAGTTCGTGAATTCACGGTCTAATTATTTTTGGCCCTTCAATAGTGATGAAACCCCAATTAGGGAGCGAGGAGGGGAGGGCTGCTGGCGCCTGGCCTGGTTGAAAGCTTTAGTTGGCTTATCAACTTGCCTTGCCCCAGGCTCCAGGATCGCCCGCAATTAGGGCCCTTTGGTTTTTGACCCCAAGATGAATACGTCCTTTTTGCAAGTGCCGTTTCCCGGCTGGTTTAAAGCGAAACCAACAGGACAAGCACCATGGACCGCTCAAGGCCCTGTCAGCCCATCACCCCTGTAGGTCCAAAAGCGTATCGGCTGTTGGCCACATGGGAAGTTGTTGGCCCACTTTGTGCAAAACCAGCATGTTGCTGTTGGTCGCAATACGCATCAAGACCAAGGCTCGAATTTGCGCGCGTCCCTGCTGCAACATCTCTTTGGATCTCTTGGGGCAAATGGGTCTGTGTCAAAATTGGGCTACTCAAAAAAATGGAGTTCTCCTGTTGCTTCCCCTTCAAATCAAGCCATAAAAGGGTGCCCTCAAAAGCTCATTTCCTGAGTTGAACTGTTTACATTTTTCGGGATTGCCAAATTTTAGTGGCGCCTCCACAGAAATCGGGGTCGGCATTTTTGTTGGGCGCCTCGACTCTATCGGTGAGATTCAGAAAAACCTTGCTGGTGAGAAATGGAGTCTGTTCCCCAACCATGTGGTTTCGTCTTTATTTCAAAATCAGCATGGCGCTTCTCGCGAACCAACAAATTCCCAGGTTCCATTCCGATTCATTCCATTGCAAACCCATCCCCATATAGCTTCCTAGGAATTTCCACCAAAACCAGTTCATTCAACCAAGACGGCCTGTCATTCCGATCGCTACCCTCGCACCGATCGCAAGCTTCACACCGCAAGCGATCGGAGCTTCAGGGGAGCTGCAGGAGACCCCCTGGGAGCTAATGCAGCGCCTCTGGCGTGGATTTGGCGTTCCGGTGGAGCGACCCACTCCCTACGGGCATGGGCCCGGGTGCAGCCGTTTTCCCTTTTTTGGGCTCCACGTTTTCCCATTTTACTCAAACAAAGATGGGGGCGCCACTCACTTTCTCGCCCAAAAGGAGAGAAATAATCCCTGGAAAACTGGGTGTTTTTTGCTGGGTTTCAGTGGAAAACTTGCAGGGTAAATCATTGCTCATAGGCTCATAGGTTCCTCCTATAATCCTTGGCTCTGAAGTGCGCCACAATCCCATTCTAGTTATTCAAGGGCCCTTACATCGGTGAATGTAGATGGCGCAGTTCACCCATGTTGATGTAGTAGTCCCCCTTACTCGCCAACATAAATCTAGTTCGTGTTTTTGTTTCCCCCTGGAGTACCCTGTTTTTAGGTTTGGTTGCCCTACCAAGCATGACACCCGCTTGGGAGCGCAAAGGGCATTTTTTTGCGGCACCCGAGTTTGAGATGCACCCAAGAAGTGGGGATAGGTTGATTTGCCCACAGGTTTGCTACCTTTTGGCTCGAAGAACGCCGCCCGAAAATCGGGCGGCGACTTGATTTCCTAACCGGCTGAGGTGAAACCGCATCCCCAAACCATGAAAAAGTAAGAAAGAAAACAAGAGTCTGCCTTTGCAACACTCTCGCAAAAGGGCACCTCTCTCCGGGCAGTCCTTTTTGGGTTCTCCTTTTTGGGTGGTTTGATTCCTAGCACAAGCAAGGGCATTTTTCTAGGAGTTTGCCAGGGGTGTGATGTTTGAAGTTCTGTTGCGCTATGATACTTGTTTTCCAACTCTAGCAGTGTTTGTTCGGGTGGAGATACAGCAAGTCCTATTGACAAACAGCGGTGCTGGCTGTGTCCGTGTGCGCTTCGGCCCGAGGAAGTTGTTCCGGCAAAACGCGGCTCCCTACGCGGGCTTTCTGCAAGCAGCTTGGACGCATGTGACGTGCATCCCGTTGAGTACCCTCCCACCAAGATGGAAGCGCAAAAAAAGGCCCCTTCCCAGAGGAAAGTCGCCTTTCTACAGTCCGTGCACTTCCATGTTAGCTGGTGGGAGGGTAGTCTCAAGATTCGGACACAGCGACAAGGCCCATGAAGCAATTTGCCTTCGCTTGCACTTTGACACGATGCACAAATCATACCCTGGGGTTCAATTCCCATTGAAACAACGAGGGTTAGTAGGACCACCATGATTTCATCATCCAAATTTGGTCATTGCCAGTGTCTTAAAGGGGTGCAAGGAAGCCTTGGGCACAATTGGCTCAGGGGCACATTGAAGTTGCCGAGGGGGATTCCGGAACTTCAGAGTTGAAACTTGCCTCGTGTTGCTGAGTCTTACCAAACTTACTGTTCACTCTCCCAGAGAAAATCAGCTTTGTGTGTGTGTGTGTGTTTTGCAGTCCTTAAGGCCAGAAAGTTCTTCGGCGTATGTTGTTTGCCCTCGGGTGAAATTTACTCATCATCTGTCGAAAAGGAGAATGTGCGAGGGTGTTGGCTGTCTGCAGGGGGGAAATGCAGGGGAACCCTTTGATGTTGTTCAAATGACTTTCGGGCCGCTACTGTGGTGAGTCAAGTTATGCAAGTCATTTCTCTGACATGTGATGATTGCTGTATTTTTTGCACGAAAGCATTGTTTCTGCACAGAGCCTTGCGACCTGTCGGTGAAGCATTGTCCAGATACAACTAGCATTGCCACCAAACATTGTTTGCATTTCTGGTGTCCTGTATTCTCCCTTTCCACCAGCCACAGAAAAGAAGCATGTAGAACCTCCCTTCGCATTGCCAGACTTCGGCCGGCTTTTTATCAGCGGTTTGCCCCCTTTCCACCAGCCGAAAGTCATCGTTTTGCGAACTGTACGTCCAAGCTCCAAGCCCAGCCTCGGGGTCATTTCAGGGCTTGGCATCTTTTGTTGTAATCTTGACCTCTTTTTTGTTCGCCTTTTTTGGGTGACCTGTTTATTTTTGTGTTTCACTTTTTTTGGGGTGGCTTCGCCTTTTTGGGGGGACTGTTTTTTTGGTCTTGCCCCTCGACTCCCGGACCGTCTTTCCACCTTCACCGACCCTCTCTCAGCCAGGCGGAGGAGATGGCGCTCTGCTGCTGCTCCCCCGAGCTCTTGCTCGGCGTGGACGAAGGCCGCATCTCCAGCTGCCCCATCAAAGGCGAGGGCTGGTGGCGTCGCGGAGGGCTGGCGTCGCGGGCGGGTGTTGGGGCTTACGGGGGTGGAACCCCCCCCCTAGAACCCCATCCAGTCACCCTCCAAAAAAAGAGTTCGGATCCTTTCAATATCAAGAAACACACAAATTCTGGCATCACATCTTGTGAACAGAAACTGAGTCAAAACCTGTGATCCAAGCTTCAAGGTCAATAGTCGGAGTTATTGCGACTGCTTGGTGTGCGGTGCACCTTCTTCGTAAGCAGTTGGAGCAAATGAGTCGTCAGTTGAACCCACTCTGTGAGTTTCTGGATTTACTTTTTGGCAATTTCGGATTAATGATGGCATATGCTGACTGTTCTCAGTCAGTGGCGCTCGGGGAGCACAGAGTCCTGCCATCTTGCCACATTGGTTCGAAATCATCTTAGACTCACTGCTTCGAGAAGATAGCCTTTAGGGGGGGGGTTAAAATGAACCAACCATGTTGGAGGTTCCGCGTATGTAACATCTTCCTTGTTCGAAGCAGACAAGGCCTGGCACCAAGCCCTCGGCCGTTTCAAACTGGGCCTTTACCAAAATTAGATGACGAGTAGATCCTCCTAGCTCGCAAAAGAAATCCTCTTCCCCTTTTTGGGGAAGGGGTCGTGTTCCCCATCCTTCCAGCTTGCAAAATCTATAAGAGTATTATATAACTATATACATATGATGTGGTACCCCCCTGGAATACTCAGGTTTTTGGCCAGAAATTCACATGTTGGCTGTAAAAATGCGTGTGTGTGTGTGTGTGTATATATATATATATGTGCCAACCAATATATATATATACACATCTCATTCCCCCTGTTTTGGAAGGACTCCTACCACGGATCCCACCCGTGGAGCCCCGTCCGTTGAGCGCCAGGCACCTGCGCGCGGTCGTTGGACAGCGCGGAGGACGCGGCGCTGCGGAGCGCCATGGTGGCCTCGCCCAAGGAGGCGCTCCGCGACGGGAGCGGCCAGGACACTTCCCCCTCTTTGGCTCCTTTTACAGGGCCCTTTGATTCTTTGCCGGGGGCTGTCTGGAAGAGGGGGAGGAGGGGGTCCCGCAAGCAACGGTCGGGGGCGGGGGCTGTCTGAGGGGAGGGGAGGGAAAGTGTATGAGATAAAAATTATACCGACGGAAGCGGCCGGGGCAAATTGCCGTTGACCGTCAAACTTGCTATCGAGCAGAATGCGCCTTGGGTTTACCAGTGACGTCGTCAAGATGTTTGACATTCTTCCATGTAGAGCGAGTGTTGGGGGTGGGGGCGGGGGCTGGGGGAGTCGGGGGGGTGGGGAGGGGGTTGGTGATGTATAATTTCATGAGAAAAATACATATATATATATATATATGTGCACCTTTTACACCTTGTTGCATGCAAAGGGATCATTTGAGTGACCAACCGAAAGTTGGAAGGGGACCGGACCCGGGTGTCCATTTTTGGGTGGGAATGACCCCCAACTTGGCAACAAACGGCTTGGGGATCATGCCTCATATAAGGTTCACCCCGGAGTATTCAACCCACCAGTTCACTTAATAGGGGGGGTGTTCCCCTCCAATAGCGATGATTCCCCGCTAAACCCAGGGACACCCTCGCATTAATAAACAGGGGTTGATCAATATGGGGTCATAATAACCAGGGCTATAATTTGGGTATAGGTGACCAGGGTATAGGCTATAATCAGGAACATGACAAGTTGTACTAGCCCCCTTACCATGCTTGTAAGCCACAAGCCCAAACATCCAAGAAGCCAGCTGGGGTCGGAGGGACCGGAGTTTTTTGGACAGTTGGGGACTTGGGCAGGCATTGAACTAGACCGGAGATTGTTGCTTTTTCCTTCACATGGAGCCCCATGTCCCTCACCCCTCCCCAGAAAGATTAAACGGGAAGTGCAAACCTGATCAGGCGCGATCAAGCCCGCGGCCCGAAAAAGCCCGCGACATAGTCAAAAACGAGCAAAAGGCCAGAACTCGGAAGCCTTGATGAAATGGCTGTGGGTCAGAACCAATGGTACCATTTCGGGTATGTGAATTCAGCACCCGTTTTAGAACCTATTTTAGTGGTTGGATTGGGATGTTCTTTGGGGGTAACCGGGCTTTTGACCCATGGCCAAATATCATCGGTTTCATTTCCCTTTGAGTGCTTAACCATCATCCTTGGTGGCCATGCGTGGCATCTCCTTTTGAAGCGACGTGGACATGGGAACCTACCGACGGTGGCGCCCATGCCCATCCCAACATCACCCCTTTTGCAATGCGAGCGGGCTGATGTTCACGGGTCTGAGACACAAACTTCGCTTCTTTTGAGGACCCTCTTTCTGGATTCGGTTCAAAGAGATACCAAAGTATTAAAAAACAAAGCCCAGTTCTGGAGTTATTGTCTTTTTTTTGGAGGGGGAGGAACGGAGGAACTTTCTTTTTGTGGTTCAACTGCTCCCCATGTTGCGGACACCCGCCCTCGGACTATACCGAGTTGCAGGTGGCGGAGCATATCATGCTGGTGGACTTGGAGCGGCACGACCTTGGCCGCTCGGCGTTGGATCGATCAACTGCCCGGCCGGTCGAGGAAAATGTGACGCCACTCCCAGAGTTGTGGAGCAACGCCAAAGAAAAACACGTGGTGGACGCATGGAGTTCGAGTTTCTAACGTGGATTTGTCGGCACTGATGTCGGCACTGGGGGTTGGCACTGATGTCGGCAGATGTTTGGAGCCTCAAAATGGACCGTGCCCGGACCCTCAAACCCTCAAACAAGTTGGAAAACACCTGAGAAAACACCGATTTGTTGGAGCAATCACCCAGTCTTATGGAGAGTTCTAGAAGTCCTCACTCCCGATCGAGTCCAAATGAACTTTAGTCACTTTTTGTTTGCTTGGACCATGAAAATGCGGTGAACAACAAGTTGGGGCCCTTTCTTTTGGCCAAGCTCGATCGGACGTGAGGTGATGCTGAGCGGGCAAATCTGGCTGTGTATGTGTATGGTACCCGCCCGGGGCTGGTTTAAAGGGGCCCCCTCGTTTCATAGAAAGGAAAAAAAACCTCCAGATCTTCCCTGTTGGGGTTTTTGAGGTTCAGGGGAAGTGTGGTGGAAAATGTCACGCGTCGTTTTCGTTGAAACTAAACGAATTTCGCCGGTGGAAAATGGAGGTTCTCAGCTGGGCTTTCATTTTATCAATGCCCATGGATCTGCCAAACAAACCCTTCTCAACAGGTCCGAAAGACCATAAATGGGGCAAGTTCCAGGATGGGGGGGAGTGTTTTCCCGTTGCTTTCCCTTGAAAGAGACACCGAAAGGACGACCTACAACCTGGCAACTGGGTTCAGGGCTGTTTTGACAAAGCTCGGTCCAAGCAACCAGACTAGATCTACTTTGGGCTGAAAGGAAGTCGTTGCCGGCAAGAGCATAAGAGCACTGGTTCCTGACGGAAGCGAGTTTTGGTGACAGTGTTTCACAACGACACGTGCCGCAGTTGCTCAGGGAAATCTCCAACTGGAAGCCCAACACACAAGCATCACTGGGGCGACTGTAAACTCTTGACATGAGTCTTCCGGATCTTGACTTAGTGTCCCTTTCGCTGTCAGAGGGCTTTAAGATTTTTCTCATGCAGCCACCCTTTCACTGTCCCAAAAAGGGTTTTGGGTGCCTTTGTCTCCGATGTCAGAAGAGCTTCTCAGGTGACATGGCTGTGTCTCAGTCTCGGGTGTCTTTGAATCAAAGCCTCAGGACTTGCGAGCGTTCCTTCCTCCGTGGCGTGGGAGCGCTGGCGAGTGGACACTTGGCCGAGAGGTCTCCGAGGTGCCCCCAACGCCCCAAAGCCCGTCTCGACGTCTGGGAGGGGGGGGTGACAGGGTTGACAGTGGGGGGAGGTTGAGGAGAAGAAAATGCTTGAAATTTGTCTTGCCGGCCAGACGAAGGTCTCGTGGGGAATTCGAGTAAATTTAACGGGAACCTACCGAATTCCACTTGAGCTCACTTCACATGGTGACTCTTGGTGTGAAAAAGTGGATAAGTGGTGTTCTTTCATGTTCTTTCAACTACCAACTTTCTACCAGAGATAAAACCACAATGCAATGCCCGACTGGTAGCAGCTTTTAAATTTGTCACTGGGTGGAGATCCGAGTGGCTCAGGAGATACTTCCAAACATCCAGCACTTGGTGAGCAAGGCTCGCGCATTTCATCGCTCACATGGCATGCCGCCCCGGTTTGCTCTAAATGATGCCTTTTTGGGGTCTCAGTTTGGGGACACAAGGGGGGGAGATTGGTGGAGGGTTGGATCCAGTGAATGTAAGCAATTTGCGGGGCCTCCCGTCAACATCTTTTTGCGACCTTCACATGTCGATGTTGAAATTGGAGAAGCTATTGTGCGCTGTTCTCGGCGCCCGCAGTGCCCCCTTTTGTTGGCATCCGCGGAAACCTGTTTTTGTTTTTACCGTTTGGAATCCTCTTAACTTGCCAAGGGTCCTGTTTTGGTATGAGTGTCCTTGACTTGCTGCGATAAGGCGGGAATGACCTTGTTCCGGGTGTTAATTGAATGAACCGGTTTTGGATGGATTCCCAAAAGGAAACCAAATCGTTCATTTAAAAAGAAAAACAAAAGATAAGGCCAAAAACAAAACAGCAACGGGCCGATTTTTTCGGGATCCCCGAAACCAACTCGAATGGATGGTTTTTCCGTGGGTTTTCGTACGCCGTTCATTTCTCATTGGGGGGGGGGGGGGCTGGGGCTGAACCGGTCTTCGTTTTCTGGGGTAGACTTGGGATACATTTTACATTTTACCAGTGACTCCATGTGAAGCAAACAAGAAGATATACATTCTAGAACTGGGCCTAACTCTAATCATGTTTTGTTTGTGGAGAAAATATAACACACAAAAATTGGAAGGCTTTTATGCCAAGAAAGGAAGCCTTAGACTAAGAGAAGATTTGCCAGTCATAGCCAACTATGCGTTTACCAACGGATGTCAAGCATGGGCTCAAAGCCGCGCTCCGGCCGAAGCATCCCCACACTTCGCAAAACGATCTCGACCGCCAAACTGAAACACCTCAAGTTTGAACCTGGTTAAGGCAGAAGCTGGTTGACAAGGGTCTCGCGTGTCAAACAGCAGCTTACTCGGTTTAGGGTTTAGGGCTTAGGGTTTAGGGTTTACGCCGCAGGGATCGCCATGGCAAGAGAGACTACGGTGCGACAGCTGTCTGGGAAAGCTGACCCTTTCCAATTGCTGCCAGACATGACACTCCGCGAGTTCAAGAGGCAGCTGCACGGGTGGCTGCCCTGCGCAGATGAATCAACCCGCGGCATGAGCTGCGTGGAGGTGGCGGTTGAAGACCGGCCGTTGTTGAACAACGAGGAACTGGTGTCGGAAGCCATTCCAGGTACAGAAGTTCTGGCTTTCCTCAGCGTCAAGCCAGTGATATGCACAAGCTTCTCAACTTCCGGCTGCCAGCTGGAAGACTCGCTCGTAGCGGAAATTCCAGGAGGCGTGACTGAGATTGGGAATGGTGCTTCAAAGGTTGCAAGTCATTGGCCGGCGTGATCATCCCTGACTCAGTGACTCAGATCGGACCACATGCCTTCCAAGGTTGCACGTCATTGGCAAGCGTTGCCATTCCAAATTCTGTCACTGACATAGGAGCCTCTGCCTTTCAACATTGCAGCTCATTGGCAAGCGTGGGCATCCCAAACAGCGTGACTGCAATACGAGATGGTGCCTTCAGAGGTTGCAAATCATTGGCAAGCGTGGCCATCCCGAACAGTGTGAAACTAGTACGAGATGGTGCTTTTAGAGGTTGCAGTTCATTAGCAAGCGTGGCCATCCCGAACAGCGTGACTGTGATAGGAGATTGTGCCTTCCAAGATGCAAGCTCATTGGCAAGCGTGGCCATCCCGAACAGCGTGGATGTGATAGGAGATCGTGCCTTCCAAGATTGCAGCTCTTTGGCAAGCGTGGCCTTCCCTGACAGCGTTCATTTGATAGGAAATTGTGCCTTCAAAGATTGCAGCTCATTGGCAAACATGGTCATCCTGAACAGCATGACTGTGATAGGAGACTGCGCCTTTCAAGGTTGCAACTCACTGGCAAGCGTCGAAATCCCTGACTCTGTCTGCATAGGATTTCATGCCTTCGAAGGTTGTAGCTCTTTGCCAGGAGGGTGAGTACATTGCAAGGTTTATTGCCTGAACAGGGTTGTCCTGCACTGGAAACTGCGTTGCTGACGGCGGAGGCATCACAGCTGTCGCCCAAAGCCGGCCACAGTTTCAACAAGGAACCGTGAAACAGGCTGCAGCTTTACCGAAATTCCCATGGAACTGCTGAAAGACTTGCCCCTTGGACATGGCTGGCTATGCACCCAGATGAAGCCGCGGGAGGTGAAAGAAGCTCAGTGAAGGAGGCTTACTTGTGGTTCACTTATGTCCGGATGCAAATGAGCAAGAAAGCCATCGATTTCGGAATTTTGGAGGGGTTCCCTGGTCGGGATAAGACATGGGTAAGACATGCAAACCTTTGAATCCATCTTGATTGCCCAAGTCAACATACATGGTCTTCTATTCCCTGGTTTGCGGGGGGGGGGGGGGGGTTGTAAGATACACGGACACCTGAAATAAGCTCAGGTGATATCCCCAACAGCATGCGGTGCTCTTTTTAGTGCTCGCACCACCCCGCAGCCCTCGCAGAACCTCGTGGAACTCTCGTGGAACCCTCAACCTTACCTCAGGGCCGGCCCGACCACCCCGGAGCCTATCTGGGCGGAGACCCCAAAGCTTTCAGCTGTTGGGGAAAATTCAAGTGATCAAAGCCAAAACCTGTCTCCACTCAGATGTATTCTGTCCCTTGCCAGGTGAGCGGACAGCTGCGCCCGAACAGCGATGTTTGGGCAGCGCTGGAATCGATTTTCCCCGGAGGCGCGTCGCACCCGGGCCATCGAAATCGATTTCCGGGCAGGCACCGGTGGAAAAGGGAGCCAGATTTTAGGGTGACAGGGTTAAACCAATTGGGCTCACTTCTCACATCCTGAGTTCATGAACTTTTAGCTTTTTGGGAAGACCATTTTAGTGGTAAATGTAAAGTTTGGACTTTTTTTTGGCCATCCACTCAGCCACTGAGACTGAGGTTTGGTCCTTTGCTTGGGGAGCCCGCATTAGTCAGGTTGGCGTAGATACGTCTTGTACATCCAACGGAAAAAACGTTGCAATCAGGCCAGGCCGAAAGTCCACGGCTTGCGGTGGGCTGCAATCGGCACCTTGCTTGGGCTTGGTCGTGTGGTTGTGGACCCCTTCGGGTGGGAGCATTCACATGGTTGTTGTTGGGAAACATTTTTCCCATTTTTGCTTATTGTGGTTTAGTGGTTGAACTCCAACCACTTAACTGCTAAAATTTAGTTTTTTGCTCCCCTTTCAACGTCAACCAAGTTCATGCGACAACCATTCCAAAGGTTCCTATCAAAGGAACAATTGGCCCAGGGAGTTGTAAGCATGGCACATGGTGAATGTGTACTTGTTCGAGTTGGTACCCTTTTCGGTTTTGCTTCGCAAGGCAAACCAAAAGAAAAAGCAATTCGGGTCTTCGTGACTTTTTGCTGGCCAGTTGAAAGTGAGGTTCCTTTAAGTGGGTTGATACTTAAGGGAGAACTCGAAAATCAGGGAGCAATCAGAGAATCATATGTCTACTTTGCATGCGCAGAAAATGAGATCGACCAATGGCTTGTTGGTATTCCCGGCTACGCTTGGTCCGGCAGGAACCCACCAGTTCGCGTCACTTCACCGTTCTTGGCAAGATGTTGCTTTTTGTAGTTTGTTGGTTCGGTTTATTGTTAGATTAAGGGGCTGCAAAAAAAAAAGAACCTGTTCTTTGCAAGCAAGGGGTGTGGAGGTTGCTGGTCTTGATCCTCAAAGGTTCAAAGGTGAGGGTTTCCGAGCCATGTCCCTTTTGGAACCGGCGGAATCGTTTCCATGGAAACCACCTTAAATTGATGAACCAGCAGGTGGCAAGGCGCTTGTGGAATGAGGCCACAGTTCCAAAAGACCGCCCTGGTCTGTCAGGTCGAAGCTTCCGAATCGGCCTCCACATCCACGGGCCAACCCGAACAAAGCCATTGGTGAAGTTGCAATCAGTTCCTTTCCCTGAAGAAGATCAACACCAATCCCAGGGTGTGCCCTGTTTTCCCGCCAGAAAAAGAAGTCTGAGAGCTTTGGGACTTGGAAATCCAGAGTATTGGACTTTGCAGGTTTGGGGAGGTCCCATTTGGTTCCAACATAGCCCCATAGACCAAGAACGGTCCATAGGTCCATAGTCCCAGTTGGTTCAAATCCCCACCCTTTTGACGTCTCGGAATCTCCGGAGGATCCATCACCGGCTGCCCAAAGACGGCGTGCATCGCTGCCATCGACGCCCTGGAGCAGCGGCCCAGGCGGAGTTGGACAGGCGACTCGATCGATCCCGCGGCCGATTCGATCTCTGGGCCTTTTCTTTGGTGAATTTTGCCAAGAGATGTTAGGACTTTAACTTTTTGCCAACTAATGGGTTTTCCATTAAACCACTAAAAGTTAAAGTCCTTTTGTAATACTTGACTGTTCTTGGCATGTTTTTTGGGTGTTTGGTTGTTGGGTTCTGTTCATTTCTACTGGGGGTCTGCAAAAAACAGTCAGTTTTTCGCTACCATACCAAGAGTAGAGATGAATAGTCCTGGTCCTTTTCGGGTCCTGGATCTTCCTGTCTTGGCAGCATTTTTTGGGGGGGGACTCGCAAATGGTCAGAGATGTCTGTCCAACTGTTGACCATATTTTTAGACTCACTTCTGATTTCTGATCGAGTTCCTGCACGTTAGTCGCTTTTTGGGAAGACCATGTTAATTGTACGGGGGAATTTGTTGCGGCCTCCAGGAAGAAAGGAAGTGCACTTTTTTGATAATGAAATGAAGCCTGCTGTCTTGCATTAGTTGAGTCCAAACCCACCAATTTTGTGAGAAAAGCTGACCTCACAATTGTGGTCATCCTTTTTGCCTGCATTCCGGGCCCCATGTCCCCTTTTCCCTTTTAAAATTCAACCCGAAAAGAGGTTTCCATCGTACCAGAGTCATGCCTCGCCATCCTCTTGGGGTGTTTTGGTGGGTTCGGTACATTAGATACGTTTCCTTTACACCTCGGTGATAGCAAATTGGTTGGGGGCAGACCCTAAACCCTAAAAGCTTCAGCAGGGCTCCTTAAAAGATGCATTGTGCAACCATTTGCCTCATGTTGCTTTTTCATCACCAAAATAAGTTTGGACACCACCAAATAGACCAGTTGCAATGTTCAGCCCAGTGGTGGCTTCTTGGGGTGGGCCCCGGTACATGGAAACACCGGCAAGAGACTTACCGCCTTGGGGGTCCCCGAAAGCAGAGACACCCATATGGCCATGAATTTTAATAGGGAACCTGAAAAGTGATGGACATGAATATCCACCATGATGTCCAAAGGGCTCCTTATTAAAATGCATAGCCATATTGGGTGCTTGCCTCTCGAGACTCGTCGAACCCCTTGGCTCTCAAGTTGGAACTGGGGATTGGCCACGTTGAGTCTGGCTGGTAAGCTGGTATGATACTCAATCAAGAAATACGGTCAACCTTGAGAACCATAGGTGTCCTTTTAATCGGTTAGTTTGCTTAAAAATGGATGGCACTCGGTTCGAACGGTTTTGTTCCATTTTCCAGCGCCATCTACTTTGCCAAAGCTCACCTGTGCTGGGAACCCTGGTTATACCCTGGCTATGGCATCCCACTTGCAACTGTGTTTTGTAGTTTTAAACAATTTTGGTCCACCGTTTCTTTTGGGCACGGACGGCACGGACCTCGCCAAACTCACGAGACCAGGAGTTGCACACCCTTAGTTGGCTTCGATTGGGAACGAAATGGAACCGTTTTGGGATTCCCGAATAAAGGAAACCACCAGTTGGATGGTCTATTTCGGGGTCATTCCATTTCCCATTCCCTGCATCTCTCGCGCCAGCAAGACTAGTGGGAGGTTACTGGACATGACATGTTCCTCAAACTCGTGTTTGTTTATCCCACCACGTGCAGCGCAGATCGTGGGCAGGGGGTGACCATCAACAAGTAGGTTTATGTGTGTATGTATAATCACACTTAGTACATATCCTCGTGCTTTCTAAAGCAAAGTCTAGAGATCAACTTGAAATCAGAAGAACGACTAGGTTGACAAACATGCTCCGGCTGTGTGTTCGGCGATCTGGTCGGAGATATGGTTATCCTGGATAGTCGGGAAGATAGATGGGCAATACTACAAGAGGTCTGAGAGAGGTAAAATGCCAATGACAGGTTTGAGTTCGATGGTGCCATCAATACCTGCTCTCCAGTTTGCTCTTGCTGCTGGTCGTAAATCTGTCCATGAGGGGCAGTTCAACGCTTGGTCCATCATGCTCGAGGTGGCGGCGCTCAAAAACGCTGGGCAGATGGCCTACAGTGGGAACCTGATGGTGTTAGCGCAGGCTTGCACGGTGGTGTTTTGGGCCAGGATCATCAATCGCAGTAGCACACTCAATCCGAAGACAGTGGTGGCCGACTATTTGAATACGAGCTTCAATGACGAGTACCAGTTCCCCTTGGTGAGGAGCTCCCTTTACGAGAACTCCATCGTCACGGAGGATGTTCTGATACACATCGTTAAGGAATGGCTTGGCATGGATTACTATGTGGACCATGTTCCTACTCTCAGCAAGAGCAGTCCGATTCCCTTGCGAACATGTAGGCACTCAGCTTGTGTCAAGGAAGGGTGTCAAGCTATTTGGTTGGGCTGAAATGGGCCATATTTTGCAAGTGAGTTACTCGATTCTTGGGCAATGGGCAATAGCCATCAAGATAGCGCCGTTGTCAAATCATGTTCTGGCTTGGGGTTTGTACGCATGCTCATCGAGCCTTTCCATGATGATGTCGCAAAGTGGATAAGCCCGTTACAATTTGCCCAGATGGATTGATCTGCTACTATTGTTGTTTGTTTGGCTACAAATTCACTTGGAAACCCCAAAAGACTGAGAAGTCGCTCCCTGGATAGAAAGCTGTGCTCTTGCCCAAGGGTTACTGCCTGGATCGCCAGCTGGAAATTGTTTTTTTTCCTCCCGCAAAGCCGCGCAAAGCCCCAAAAACTCGCAACAGTGACTGAAAGCCGCAACTTGGTTATCTAGGCTTGCTCAACGGAATGTGCTTGACAAGGCTACTCCCAAAGTGGCTTTCCGGGTTCCATGTTCATAGGATCTATTTGGGGGTGTCTCAGAATGGAGGTCGGCCCCGATTTAACCAACCATTGGAGGGGAGCCTAAAGGAAACCAGAAGGAAAATCATCGGGAAACCAGAATGAACCATAGAAAACCATAACTCACTTCCTGAGTTCATGAACTTTAAACTTTCTGGGAGGACAATTTTAGTGGGAAATGTAAAGTTTGGACTTTTTTGGGGCCATCCACTCAGCCAGCGAGTAATAAGGAAACCAGAAGGAAATCAGAAGGAAATCACAAGGAAACCATAGCGAAACGATTTTAGGAGAACCAAATTCCGTTGAGCGGTCAGGCAGCCTTGGATTCGCGGACCTCTTCACCGGCGATGGCCAGTGGAACATTTTGATCCGCACCCTGGAAGCCCAGGCGACAAAGGCGGGGGGTGGATTTTTTGTTGGTCGGCGACCGCCCGGCAGCCGGAATCTGTTTTAATATCCTACAGGGGTGGATCTACAAATTCGTCGCATCCAAGCCGTTTTCGAGAAGTAGGGTCAGTGGACCAATGTTGTCCGGGCCATATGAATCAACCAACCTGTTTTCTTTCATAGGGGGCTGGTTTTTGGCCCCGGTCTGATTCCCAACTAAACCCAGGGACACCCTCCTATTAATAAACAGGGTTGAGTAATATGGGGTCCACATTACTCACTCATCGAGTTCATGGACTTTAGTTTCACTTTCCGAGGTTTTGACCATTTTAGCGGCATGCAAAACTGTGGCTGTCCTTGTATCCTACATGTGTGTTTTGATCGGGATCGGGAACTTCGAGTTGAGGGTAGCTAAGGGGGCCTCACAAGAAGTCCATGCTCCAATACAGTTTCCAATGTAACCCTCATAGCTGGATGAGTGCGTGGTGCTGATGACCGAAAGCGACCTAGCTAGACCGTTGATGTTAAATAGTGTGGGGGGGGGGCTGGTGCAGGTTGTGGATGATGCTGGGGATGCTGTGGATGCGGGATCCCGGGATTGAAAGGCTCTTCGCTATTGCATGGGGCTGGATGAGCTACGCACAACAGCCTGGCAGGACTCACCTATGCACAACACACAACCTTGCGCGGATGTTCGGCCAACTCGAACAAGCGCGAAGTCGAAACAAGACCACTCAACAACAGAAATGTCACCCCCTCCCCAAAAAACATCAGAAAAGAAAAGAAAAACACTCCCCCTGGCAAGTGTAAACAAGCGCAGATAAACAAGTGTAAACAAGTGCGCGTCGTGTACCCCCACACAGAAGCGAGACGCTCCAAAATACGAAGGCGCTTCCGATAAGGAAACCAAGCAACCATGTCAGGGGATCTTGAAGGAATCCAGGGGGAAAATCATAAAACCATATAGGAAATCATAATGACACCAGAATGAAACCCATAATGAAACGATTTTAGGAGGATCGATTCCTAGAACGGTCAGTCCCGTCGAGCTTGTTCGAGTTGGCTGAACATCCATGTGAGTCCTGCCAGGCTGTTGTACGTTGTATCTCATCCCCATGCATACCGAATCGAATACCTGCGCCTTTCAATCAACAGTGCTGCATTGACAGCCACGGCTGACGACAGCTGGTTTGATTTGACTGAGATCCCCTGCGCGGTTTCAGCCACGCTCCATCCATTGATCCATCCTTCCTTCCATCCTTGCCCTCCGTCCAGCCTGGCTTGCCATTCCGCGGGTCTTTGGTACTGCATGCTCCTGCGAGCGACAGCCTGGCCAACGATATCGTGGCCGACATCTGATGCAGCATTGCCCGCTTCAGACGGGCTGGCCACGGGCCGTGCGGTGGACGGTGGGCTTCTACCCCGAGGAAAGGCCACCAATGAAGTTCTTCGAGGACTACTGGACACTGGCTCGGCAAGCTCCTTTTGGGTTTGCGTGACACAGGCGCAGGCCATCCGCTGGCTGGTGTCCTTTGGGGCAGCCATAGAGCCATTTGCCACCAAGCTCTGGAAGGTGATGGCGGCCAAAGCTGGCGCTCCATGCTGGCGCATGACGCCAACATGAAACCGCGCCGCGCAAGCTCTTCACGCCAATGCGCGCAGCAAGTGTGCTCACGGCAAGTTGGTTCCTAAGAAGGGCATGCGCACCTTCCTTCTCGATCTTCGTGGCTTGGGCCACTGTGGTGTTTGCAGCTTCTGGCGCTACTTCGTGCACTTGCGCCGCTACCCGACGGCACAGGATCTTCTGCTTGCCCAGGCAGAGCCGCGCGGAAGGATTTCAATCTGTTGCCACGCAGCGCACAAGGCGGCTCGCCTTGGGTGGCTGGCTGGCTCGCTCGCCCGGCTTTGCCCCATTGTTTTCAGGCTTCGGGCCTTGGCCTCCATTGGGTGTCTGCCTCGCTTCTCGTCCTCACTGGCTAGAATTGCAGGTGAGGTGCACTCTTGCTCGCGTTTGTTACCCGCCCAATCTGATGCTGCGTCAACGTTTGCTCCCAGCAATACTACTACGGCCTCCTGCGCACAGCTATGTGGCACATGGCTCGGGCGTCCTGCCTACAGCCAAGTGGTGGCGACTCGGCACGCTTGGCTCCGCCAAGACTCGCGAAAATAGAAACCGAAAGGCGCAACTAGACATAGCTACCTCGCACCAAAGATCCCCCCCCCAATCCTACAATCGTCAGCAAAACAGACTTGGGAAACATTGGGAAATGGTCGCCAGACGAAATCCTAAACCCTTGTCCCTCAAACAAACTTTGAAAATGCGCGGTAAAGCCGGGGAGTTCTGCTTGTTGAGCCCTTTGACTTACCGCCTTTGTGGTTGGGCATGTCTTGCATCACTTTCCCCTCGCCACTGGGGTAGGGGTTTGGTGCATCTCCCCTTTCTATCACTATCATTTCTCTTGGAAATGCCAAGAACGCCAATTTAATGACCCTCACCGGCTTCCGGGCCAGACTTACTTGCGAGTGAGTGAGTGATAGGGCAGGCCATTTCTTTCTCATGGACAAGCTTACCCTGAAGTGCTGCCCTGTAAGCCACTCAAGAATCAGTTCCAAAGTGAGGATATGATGGGCAGCCCTCACGCTCCTTTTCCTCCCTATCTCCCCACCGTCGATTCGCAGAAAGATTATGCTGTCGAATGGCTCAGGTCATTGTGGTGGATGCTCACGCCGCGACTTCCACAACCTCCAGCTCGACCACGAGTACCACGCGATGCCAAGGCAGATTTGTGCCCAGTGTCAGCAGCACTCCAAGAACTTCGGGGATGTGAGAAGACCTGCAACACCTGTGACGCTTGCACGGGGCAGAATCCTCAAGACGGGTGAGGAGGAGCCTTTTTGCGGTGACATTGAAATGGACGACGATCAAGCTTCCAAGCAAGAGAAGAGGAAGGTCAGCGCCAAAGCGGCGCCTGCTCAGCCGAAGATGGAAACTTTGCCGTCTTCATCAAGGAAAGGAGGAGAGCAGGGGCAACCCCTGCCGACCGCAAGCTCGATCCTCAGGTCGCATTATCAACTACGGTGGAGACGACTACGATGCCACGATCATCATCGGCTGGGACGTAGGCTTGCCCGCGGCCGCTTCATCGACAAGTTCCACCTCGCGATTTTGATAAGGACTTCGTGGACGTGAAGCTGCTCATCACACAGTTCAATCGGAAGGCTCGCGCGAACATTGGTGTGCGGAAGCTTCTCAATGTTATGGCTCAGAGCCCGCCAGGGCCACGACATGCTCGCCAAGGCCATCTACGGGAATCACCTCCGGGCCTGCAGTGTCCTCGCTACGAGCCGCAGCCGCAAAGATCGTGCAGACAGGGCCACTCCTACTTTTCGGTCCACGTCATTGACCACGCTAAAACGCTGTTGAGATCGTGCGAGGGCATGATCCTTTCCCCACGGAGTCCGACGTCACGCTGCCCTCCGACCTTGCCCCCACTGACGCCATCTTGTACTACGAATGGCGAGGTCCTGTGGCGCAATGCCCTGCGGTTGCTGGCGGTGAAGGAGGAGACAACGGTCGATAAGCTTGCCTTTCGGAAGCTCGTCGCGCCCAAGGAGGAAGCCGTGCATGGGAGGACACGAACTGGCTGCCACCATTGCACCGATTCTTCGTTACAAAGCATGGGCTGCGCCCATCCGCTATATACCGACTGTGGGAAATGCGGCGAGGACGTCGCGCAGGGGGCGCTCAAGTGTCATCGCGCGGGCCGTTGAAACAACGGACGCACAACTCTTCATCTCTGCAAAGACGCCGCAGCACCATGATCGAAGAGGTGCACGGCCGCCTCGACAAGACACTGCATGAGTTGCATGTCCATGATTTCAAGGGCTACACCGAGCCGTCAATAGGTTCGACAAGGAGGCTACAGGAACATGCGATCAGCGACTCTTCGGCGTAGGGCCTGGCTACAACATGGGAGACAGAGAGCAAAGGTACAAGGTACGTCAGGATGGTCTTAGTGCATCATCAGCAGCCGACTGTGAAGTTCCAAAGTTGCTTTCACACAACGGCAGGATGCTCAGCCTCAAGCAGTTCGTCAATCAAGTCAACGTGCTCCTATCCTCATTTCCTCACCTTTGGCCAGAAGTCCCCAAAGAGGACTCGAAGCCGAAATCCGGGAAATTTGTCAGGACGCACAGATCGCGCAGCCACACGTCATCAACGCCTAGTCCCGCCCTACACGCTCCAGCGATCGCAGCCGTATGGGTCTTTGAGGGGCTGGTAGGTGATGGACGTATAGTTTGATGAAGTTCGAACATCAGCCTCTTCCATTTTTCTGGGCTGGACTTTGCAGCGGGTTGCAAAACCTTCCGTAGCATCTTCAATCTGCGATCTCATATGAGGGGTGTGTGGATTGCAGAGCCAACCTGCGCACCTGCATGCTTGTATGCATGGCTCGGTACTTCGGTATCATTGCGCAGTGTGGAAAGTAGTCGGCAGCTTTGTGCCTAGGCCTTCTTGTGTAGGTGGTCTAGGCTTGATTTTCTTGGTCTACCCGGCCCATGTAAAGAACTAAAACGGCGGCTGCGCCCATTTATATGTTTATGGCTGGGGCTGTCCCTCACTAACGTTCATCCCGGGCTTTGATTGTGGCTCACTTCTGTCTTCTGTCAGCTTGAGCCTTATATTCACGGGTAGTGGCAAATAGGCCAACCGGTCCCTGTTGGCTGACCCGTTTTGAAAGTCTCGTTTTGTGCGAGCTTTACGGGGTTCGCCATTGCATTCATCCACACCTGCTTCTTGTGGTGGGGTGTGAAGAGACATTGGCTCAATTTTCTGTGTGGCCAACAAAAATGAGGGGAGAACGTGCTGAACAGCAGAACTCTGCAGGCACACAACACGTTTTCGTGTCAAGAGTAGCCAAGAAATCTGCCATGGCGAAGGAGATTACGGTGCGACAGCTGTCTGGGCAGGAAGGCTCACTCGCGGTGTCAACCCACACGACCATCCGTGAATTCAAGCGGCAGCTGCACGCGCGGCTGCCTTGCGAAGATGAGTCAAAGCGCAACATGAGCTCGGTGAAGGTGGTTGTTGGAGACAGGCCCCTATTGAACGAAGAGGAGCTAGTGTCAGAGGCAATTGCAGGTGCAGAAGTCCTGGCTTTCCTCAGCATCCAGCCGGTTGTGTGCTCAAGCTTCCACGCCTCCGGCTGCGAGGTGGAAGACTTGTTGGTGGTGGAAATTCCCGGAGACGTGATTGCCATTCAAAAAGGTGCCTTCGAAGGCTGCAGCTCATTGGCAAGCGTGACCATTCCAAATTCCGTGACTGAGATTGGACAAGGTGCCTTTTCAGGCTGCAGCTCATTGGCAAGTGTGACCATTCCCGACTCCGTGACGAAGATGGGATATGGTGCCTTTTCAGGCTGCAGCTCATTGGCAAGCGTGACCATTCCCAACTCCGTGACTGAGATTGGACAAGGTGCCTTTTCAAGCTGCAGCTCATTGGCAAGCGTGACCATTCCCGACTCTGTGACTGAGATTGGACTAGGTACCTTTTCAGGCTGCAGCTCATTGGCAAGCGTGACCATTCCCAACTCCGTGACTAAGATTGGACTACGTGCCTTCGAAGACTGCAGCTCATTGGCAAGTGTGACCATTCCCGACTCCGTGACTAAGATTGCACTAGGTGCCTTTTTAGGCTGCGGCTCATTGGCAAGTGTGGCCATTCCCAACTCCGTGACTGAGATTGGACAAGGTGCCTTTTCAAGCTGCAGCTCATTGGCAAGTGTGACCATTCCCAATTCCGTCACTGCGATTGGACAAGGTGCCTTTTCAGGCTGCAGCTCATTGGCAAGCGTGACCATTCCCAACTCCGTGACTGAGATTGGACAAGGTGCCTTTTTAGGCTGCAGCTCATTGGCAAGCGTGACCATTCCCAATTCCGTGACTGAGATTGGGCAAGGTGCCTTTTCAGGCTGCAGCTCATTGGCAGGTGTGACCATTCCCGACTCTACGACTGAGATTTAAAAAGATGCCTTTTCAGGCTGCAGCTCATTGGCAAGCGTGACCATTCCCAATTCCGTCACTGCGATTGGACAAGGTGCCTTTTCAGGCTGCAGCTCATTGGCAAGCGTGACCATTCCCAACTCCGTGACTGAGATTGGACTAGGTGCCTTTTCAGGCTGCAGCTCATTGGCAAGCGTGACCATTCCCAATTCCGTGACTGAGATTGGACAAGGTGCCTTTTCAAGCTGCAGCTCATTGGCAGGTGTGACCATTCCCGACTCCGTGACGAAGATGGGATATGGTGCCTTTTCAGGCTGTAGCTCATTGGCAAGTGTGACCATTCCCGACTCTGTGACTGGGATTGAAGGATGTGCCTTTGAAGGCTGCAGCTCATTGGCAAGCGTGACCATAGACTTGTATGGAGCAGGAGCTTTTGAAGGCTGCCGCAGGTTCCATTTGGAGTCAGATGGGACATGAAGAGTTTTGGCTTCGAGTATGACGAGTTGGATTTGAATCGTGATTCCCGGCGATGTTATTCTGGCTGAGATCGTGGGTTTCCCCGAAGCCCCAGTTTGTAGAACAACAACATATCCCTTGCTTCATCATTTCGAGCTACATTGCAGCGATTGCAGCGCCTGGACTGGGCAAACGCTTTGACTGCGCAGAAAGGGAGCGCGACCCTGCGCCCCCAGATTGCCCCGAACGAGGGTCGCATGATGTTGGGGCTGTGGTTTAATTGAAACTGCCGCCAAAGTACGATGGGGGGAAAGTATGATGGGGGGGGACACTTTTGTTGGTGTCCATGAGGGGTAGCACCTTCAAACCTTTGAAAAGGATCCAAACACAGATCTAATTGCCGGCCTTTCAGGGACAGCTCGCTGGGTGTGAGGAACTTCCGCGCTAAATGAGATGCAGTTCAACCCCCTGCATAACATCGAAATTTCAAAGCACTGAGTAGAGGTGTAGGGAACTCCTTGTGGGCAATGTTCTTTCACTCTGTTGCCCAGTGGCGCCCTTTTTTCGACTTGTTTCGGGGGAAGGGAATTCCTTTTTGAACTCGACCAAACAACAATCGAATGCCGATTATTTCCCTTTTTTTCCCATTGGAAGTCAATTCCACTGAGCTGACTTCGTCATTTTTGCAAAGCTTCTTCTTGGCGGTCCCGCAAAGCCGCAGCCGCGTTTTTCCGCAAGCCGCCTCTCGCGGGCGTTTTCTTCTCCGGATCGAACATCGGGGTCAGGACGCCTGGCACGGGGTGGTCAAGGCTGGCGGCGGCCTCACCATAGGCGACGTCCGGGCGAACGGGGGGTTGGTCGGTGCCATGGCCACCGGCCTCGTTGGCAACAGGGCCCTTCCATTTGGTGAAATGAATAGTTCTCATTTTCCCCCGGTTGCAGAAGGGAATCGATGTCACTACTGGAATTAGTTTCTGTGTTTTCCAGGGGACTTAAGCAAATGGAGGGTCCCATTTTGGCAACAGGGGTGAAAATAGGGACCTGGACAATCAGCCGTTCCAAGCGGGTCCTACTTGGTGGTTGCAGTTCTTCCATTGGCTGAAATGAATATGTGGTTTGTTTCCCCCCCCCCCCTTTTGTATGTTGTTTTTTTGGTTTTACGGGATTCTATCACTAATAATAGTGCATTTATTTGCTGAAGAGTCCCACATGTTTTTCTGCTGAACAGAATATGCCCCTTTGACCCCTTGGCCATAGCAGTGGCCCAGGGAATGTAGCCCTTGACCATGTAGAGAATATTGTGATATGTTCCCTGTTTGGTTTTGAAGGGAATCTGTCACTATTGGAAGCACAATCATTTTTTCCAGGCGGCTTTAAGCAAACGGAGGCCTGAAACAGGAAATTTTGGGGGACCCCTGAACATCTCCGTTGATGGCAACCCATTTTCCCTTTTTATGGGGACTAGATCTCAGTTGTTCGGTGGCACCCTTTTTCCCTTTTTTTGGGTGGCTGCCCCACTAAAAATGGTCCAAGCCCCAAAAAGGGTTCCCTTTTTTTTCCAGGGTCACTGAACAATTGAGAGATAGATGGAATTGGGGGACCTAAAGCCTTCCCCTGAAGGTAGGGGGAGTGGTTCTGTTAAAGTCGGAAAGTGGATGGTTTCTCTGCAACCTACCACTTGGGGGCTGACTTTCTGGCTTTCTTTGGACTTGAAGTGACTCTTTGGGTGGGGCACGCTTAGGAAAACATGTTGCATTTTAGCAGTGACAAGTGAAGCAAACCAGAAATAGACATTCTACGACTGGTCGCCTAACTCCAAACCTTTCTCAGAAGGTGTCCCTGACCGCTTCAGCGGATTTGGTTCGGAAGTCGGAGTTTCCAGAGGGCTCTGGGACCCACGGAACATGATTCACTGGTCAGAGGGGCCAAGCTCGGAGCAGTGGGCAGCATCTTGGGCTGCAACTTTGTTTGTGTTGGACCAAAGTTCAGGTTCCCCGGTTTTTTGAATCAAGGATTTGGATTTGGATTCGAAGCCCTTGTCTAGTCCCCTAGTGGTGCCCTTTTACCCTCTGTTGGGGAGGGTTCACCTACTAAAATAGACCGACAAAAGTTGGTACCCTTATTCTACCCTCTGGAGGACCTGTGCTTTTGGGGAAATGGGAAGCCTCGTAACCACCACCGCTTCGGCTCCAATCTTTTTCGGTTCGAGGCCTGAGAAAGGAGTTGCTTCATGGTTCAGCGTCTGCCTTTGTTTGAGTTGGCGAGCAAGCGAGATTGGGGGGAGGTGTGGGCATGTTTGGTTGCTATGTGTGGGTGTGTCCTTTGCGGGTTTGATTTGATTTTGGAAAGGGAAACCGATGATCCACCGGGACATGAGCCCCAAAATGATGGCTTCCTTTTCTGGCGGAAAAGGCCAAGCATGTCTCCAACTGCCAAGTTGCGGTCCCATCAACAAACATGGAAGTCCACTAGAAGGGAAGACCCATTTCCCTTCAAGGCGGTGGTGCCAACTGCCCATTTCGGGGCTACATAGGTCTAAAGGCCCATTTTGCGGGGCCTCTGGAAGATACCATGTTTCCATGGACAGCAGAAACCGGTTGTCTCATGGTTGGGGTGTCGTATGCTTGTGCTGCCCTTCGAATTGGGCCCAGCTTCACCTTTTTTCCCCGGCTTCCCTTGAAACCTGCATGTGATCTGTAGCAACAGATGGGCCATTTCTTACAGACTTCGGAAGTTGTTCTGCTGTTCGTGGGGCAGCCCGTGGCCCTCGAATTCGGATTTTTTGAAGAGATCCCTGGATCAAGGAAAAGAACTGAGCGCAGTCAAATCTGCAAAGGTCCATTGGACACGTCTTGGATTGCTCAAACTGTCTAGTGGCTGATGGTCAACGAGCGGCAAAGCGGGATTTACCGCACCACGGCCCTGTCCAGCTGCATGGAAAGCTTGTTTGCCTCCAGCCATCCAAGTCTCAGATCGGAATGATTTTGGATTCCCACCGTTTTGGCAAAAGCCGAAAAGATGTGTTCAGCTTCGCAAGTGGTTTGGATTGCTTGGGGATTTGAACCCTTGGATTCTGGAAAGTTCATCGGCCGCACGGAAGCTGACAGCCTGGGTCAAAAGGAAACCACCCCTCGGCTCTTGTGGCCAACTTGATATGGGTTGTTCAAGGCTTGGCAGCTCCCCAACAGCAGGAACCCCGAAAGAACAACCTCCTTCGTTCGAAAAGAACAACCTCCGTTCCCCCCAAAGATGGCAGGGGGTTCCCACCAGGTCCCAAGGATGCGCCCGACTCAAAAGATGATTCGGCTCCTGTTGGTTTCCCACGAACAGAACAGAGGTTCCCAAAAAAGAAGAAAACACCAAAAAATGGTGTCTCAAAGAAGGGGGGGAAACCCCCGCCGACATGATTCGACACTCCGGTGGTTTCTCCCCCTACAACCGAACGTTCCCCCGCCCCCCCCCCCAAAAAAAAAAAAAATGAACCTACACCAACCACACGTCCCCCCCCCAAAAAAAAAAAACTGCACCAACCACACGTCCCCCCCCCCCAGAAAAAAAGGAAGAAAAGGTTAAACCTACACCAACCACACGTTCCCCCCCCCCCCAAAAAAAAACATAAAATAAATAGATAAACCCACACCAACCACACGTTCCCCCCAAAAGACAACAAAAAAAAAGTATTAAACCTACACCGACCACACGTTCCCCCCAGAAAAAAATAAGAAAAGGTTAAACCTACACCAACCACACGTTCCCCCCCCCCCCCAAAAAAAAAAAAAAGAAAGTATTAAATCTTACTATACCTGTTTCCCCCCAAAATATAAATAAATAAATAGATAACCACGCGTCCCCAAAAAAAAAAAGAACCAAAAAGTGTTCAACTTCCCCACAACATTGCGTTCCCCCAAAAAAAAAAAAAGGAAAAAAAAAACCAAGAAAGTATTAAACCTACACCAACCACTCGTTTCCCCCCAAAAAAATATATCAATAAATAAATAGATAACCACGCGTTTCCCCCCCCCCAAAAAAAAAAGAAAAAAGAACCAAAAAGTATTCAACCTACACCAACCACACGTTCCCCCAAAAAAAAAAAAGAAGAAGAAAAAAAAAAGCGGGAGAAAAAAAACGGACATAAAACCCACTGCGCGACGTCCCAAAACTTCGGCGGCGTCCCGGCTTCCGCTTCCGCCAGGCTCGGATCCCGCGGCCGAGGTGCAGGAGGCGAAGCTCAAGGCGTGAGCGGATCACTCGGGTTGATTCGGCGTGGTGAGTTTTTGGTTTTGGTTTGTTGTTTTTTGTTGTTGTTTGTTGTTTGTTGCCTTTTTTTGGTTGCCTTTTTTTTGTTGCTCTGTTCTTTGTTGCTTTTGTTGCTCCCCTTTCTTTCTTTGCTTGGTCTAAAGGGAAGGGAAATCAAAAGAAAGGAACGGCACCACTTTGGGTGGTTTTCCGACTTCAGGGTTCTGGGATCACTCTTGGTTTATCACCACTGTGATACTTGTGGGAATCTCGGTGGGAGGGTAACTAGCGGTTTGTTGGAGTGGTGGCGTGGGGTCTGGGCGGCGCTTAAACAATACAATTTGGTGTCCTCCATGTCCTTTTTTTGGAACCTCCAAAATGGCAGTCCCAATGGAAGCCCCCAGTAAGAAAATAAATGTTTGAAGGGGAAATCCAGTGACCCTGACTAGTCATGTGAGCGACAATGTTTGTCACTGTTTGAATTCCCCTTGTGGTTAGACAGCCAGCATGAGCAAGTGGAACTCGAAATGAACCTCTGGCAGAATCGCTGGGGGCATTTCCCATGGTGTGTCCTTCCAACATGGGAATTTCCTTCAAGTCTATGGGGTTGATTCCCCATTCTTTTCAGCCATCATTCTTTTCAAAAACCAGCCATTTCCCCAGGTTTTAGTGGTTTTCTAGAAAGAAGAATCCCTGGACAGAATGGACATGGAAGGTACCCCTAGAAGAAGGGCATGCCTCGTCTGGAAAAAGTTTGCTCGAAGGTCTCCAGCAAGCAGGCGCTCCAAAACGTGCTCCAGCTTCCTTTTGGTTTCCCGAGAAGCCAACCCCGAGAAGGGCAGGTGCCCTCAAGTCGCTACGTCGGGCGCCCGGGGCGTTCCTTTGGAGTCTTGCAAACTGAGTGAGCCGCCCAGCTCTTGAAAGCAAAAAAACACACGGGGGGCCCTATGCTCGAAACCACCGGGTTCCGAACCACCAAGGGTTCTGGTGAGATGTGGGGCAAAACG